AAAATTAAAAACAAAAAATTTTTAACTTCAAAAATCGCGACCCATTTCAGTTTTTATATACTGTAACGTATATTTAATTACGTGGTTTATTTATTTACAATTAATTAACAATAACATTCTCAAAATGGATGAACTTGTAACAGTAATTGCAATTTAGCACTCACAATTTATAACATAACATAAGTGCAATGTCTGTTGTTTTCAAGTATTATCTGTGGTGTGTATTTGTAGTATGGTGTGTCTTATCTGTTATGAAATTATGTTTAAGTTTATTTTTGATGTATGTTTTAGCTACCTGATCGTGTCGATGTTTGTATTCTGTTTGTGCATGCCGATATGATATGTGGGGCTGTTTCTCATGTTTGTGAACAAAGTCGACAAGAGTCATTTTAAATTTGGTACACATAATCTTAGACATAAAAGGGCAGAATCACGCATGCGCAAGTGTGCAGTTGGTATCTGTGCTAGCCACAGCAAATTTTTTTTGAAGTATACATAGCCTATCTGTATAGGTACGTTTACAAAAAATTCTCTGTATATGTTCGTCTGTTATGTCTGGATTGTTCAAGTATTACAGAGTCTATAATGAGTTGCTCTTTACTGCCTCTGGAAGACTTGGTACAACCTTTTTCTGTTGTTCATTTTAGCCCAATTTCAGAGCACTGCGAAGATCTATAGTCGCTTTTTAAGTATATGTATGTCATGGTGGCTAAGAGATTAACGAAGATGGAAATATGCAAAAACCACCCATCAATCTCAAAGGAGTCTCACCGCCTATTCACTTTGAGTTCCTAAGCACGTTGAAGTGCGTGAGTAAAAAACGTCTCAAGGATAATGTGGCACATCTTTTTATCCCCCTCAAAAGCCTCACTGCATTCCGTCCACGTAACCGCATCAGTAAAAATGCTCGCTAATGCTTCTTTAAGGAACGAAAAGGTCCCCATTTATTAATTAAAACACTTCCGCAAGTTCGGCTAATTAAATTACTGTCCCTCTTCCTTCGCCATTTACTCATTATATATTTTCCTTTTTCCAACAAAAAGTTTCCTTCTTAAACAACAACTTCGCGTTTGAGCTTTCCATAGAAACTTTCAATATCCTTTTAAATAGGGAAATTAAATGTAGTCCGCGAAGTTTGACTTTTTAATTTAAAAACCACCTACGTCGGAGAGCGTGACTTGAATTCAATATCAAAATTTAGTTCTACCACTTTGTGACCGATTTGAAACGAACAGAAATCGACTATTAATAGCAAGTATAGAAAACCTACACTCGATTATTTAACACGTCCGATAATTAACTACACGATGGTAAAAAGTAGAGGATCTACAATTAATCCCTGCGGTACACCTTGGGAGAGGTGGTATAATGAAAATTTTTAAATCGATCGAATCCCAGCTACTCCAAGAACACCTATTGCTTGCAAAAAAAAAAATAGATCGAAAAGACGACGAAAAAGGGAACGGAAATGAGAGGCAAATATTTATTTAACAAAGAAAAACTGTATTTACTCCATTTCTGTGCATTGAAGAATGTTTCAGCTTAAAACCGTTGTGAAGACACGAATTGTTGTAGAAATTGTTCAAATATTGGAATATCATTACGAAGTAACTTGGAGCTTTATGTAGTATTAGTCGTGTCTGGAAAACTTTAATACGACCAAGTTTAGAACTAGAAGTTAAGTCGTCGTGTCAATATTGGCGATATCGACGTCTTTCGATTATGGTATATGGCGGATGAACCAAAAGTTTGATCATTACAATTCGTTGCAAGCGAAATGAGGTGGAAATTTACTGATACAATTGACGCATCCAAATCCATCCGGCTTTAAGATAAAACCCATTTAAATTACTAATTAACTCTAAACTCGTTAAGAAAGTAATGAGGAATGAATTTAGAGGTAGTTTCAAAATGAAATTCGTTCGCGAGGTAGTTTTTGGCAGCACACGCCATTAAAAGTTCAAAACAATTTCCATTGGAGATAATTCAATTAGCATTTTCGCGAAAACAAATGCGCTCGTTCGTTCCGTTAGGTGGTTTCAGAAGTGAAATCGAATTAAAGTTAATTATACCCGCCTTATTCGATTTAATCTCTCAGTGTCAAAATTAGGATTGCAGTCATAGTGCAATACTCTTTTTATACCCCTCCGCCCCGAGGAGGCTCGTTTAATGCATGTTATCTATTTTGAGGACTATTTTAGTGGCAATTATTATATTTTCTTAATAATTATAGGTTGACAAATGAAATTAAAACAGAAATTATGAATTAAAAAATCAAAAGGAAAAAAACAAAAAGGGACATACTATAGCGAATATTCCAGAGCAACATCGGGGCGCCCTCACGTCGACAAGGAACGAGGGCGGATGTGACGTGTTCTTTCCGGGAAATATTACGTGTTTATTCGAAAATGTTTTTGTTTGCTATATAAGCAAATTGAATCGTGTTCAATTTTAGTCACAAGATCGATACCGAAGTTGAAATAATGACATTCGCGCTCGTATGTTACAAATCTACATGTTAAATATTTGAGTGGTAAATGATAATGTTCTCATTAATCATTGAACTTAAATATGATTTTGAATGCTTTTAGTGACGGAACGTCCAAATTTGTTTAATCCATTTATGAAGTGTTTTGATAATCTAGTCAATTATGAATTGATTCCGCCAAAGCTGTGTATTTTTGTAGTCGGTTTCTATATTATTATTAGTATTAAAAATTGGATCAATAGGGTTTCCGGTAACATCTGCGTTATTAATCTGGACCTAGAAGATTATCTAAACTTGGACCAATTGACAGAATGCCGTCCTCTCGTTGCCCACTGTAGGTACATATTCAAAACACGTATGAAACTTCGGTTGTTTGACTTTAAAAACCAATTTCAGTTTTGTATACTCGATCATCCCGAATAAGTATACAATGTCTGGAACTGGCGCCGTTTTCGATTCCGTAAAGAAATGACGGGAAGGCGAAACTTGACACTTCAACTACTGTTAAGAACCCTTTCGATGCGAACAAATATTCCAGGGGTTAACATTTTCTCACTAGGAGTGAGTGAATAACGGGTCGTATCTCAAATGGAAATATTTTTCATGACTATTTACGTACCTACTCTGATTACATTTGCATTTTTTTAATTAAAAGTCAAAATTGTGTTATGTAATATCAGGTTAAAAGGATATTTGCTTTTACGCTCGAGCTCGAATTCCTTTTTGAAAACATTCAATTTGTTTTCCATTTCGGAGTTACGTAACTGAAACCAGCATTTTAATTATCTCTTCAATAACAACGAGGACGTTCTACCTTTTTATATTATGTCGCAAATTTCCGTCAACGAAATTATTACACTCGCCTATTTTTAGTTGCCAAGTGTTAATAACTTTGAAAGGGAAGTTTTCGAAGGAAATTCCCCTTACGTGATGGTTTTTGTCAGCTAATAACTCGACAACGGGAACAGAGATGTCAAACATTCGCCAATCGATTTCTACGAGTTCTCGGATCAGTGTTATTGAATATGAGCCGGATTAAAAGTCGCGTTTCCGAATGTGTCAAAAAATTCCCCTACTGAAAATCGAATGCGATTCGTCGTATTTTAATGGTTTATATTGTAGCGAGTATCCCAGACAGCGAGTCGCCCGCTGCCGCCATGGAGGCGCCATTAAAGTCACCGGCAGTAATCTCCATAAAGTCCTTCATTCGTTTTGTGAAATCTGATACCGATGTTCCCAGACCTTCCGTAAATTTCTAGAAACGTTCGATTTAATATACAGTGTGAGTGATTTTGCGTGTCCAAGCGTATATTTCTTTTATTACTGGAGATAGCAAAAAAGTGGAAGAAGCAAAAATTCTCTACTTTCAATTTCGGATAAAGCTACATATTAAAAAAAATATAAATGTCATATAAAAACAAAAGAGCATCAGAAAATAAATTAATTTTTTAAATAGAATGGTTACTTTGTTCTGTATTATCATTGAATAATAAATCTGAATCAGATTTATTATTCAATGGTATTATTCTTAAAGAGCTTGAAATTTTCTTTACAATGATATCAAATATGCTATAATTGGCTTAGAAGCAATAGCTACAGTAATGTGTTGAGAATCAATCGCGGTAGCGGTGTAAATTTAAACAAAAACCTAAATTTTACAACAGAAAGAAAAGAAAACAAATGAAAAGCAGTTACAGAAATAATTATTATAACTTACGACAAATTTAAACACATTGGACTTGCTTCCTGTGCCATTACACATTACATTACACCTCTTAACATTTATCATTTGTGTAATTATTATTTGTATTGTGATTCTTATAAGTCATATTGGTCACAACTGATTTTGTGACAGATATGACAATCGAAAAACTTTGTTTTGTTTTTTTTTTAATTTCCACAGTTACTGCGATTGGTTTTAAAAACATTACTGCAGGTAATTATAATTATAATCAAAGGTAATTACGGTTATAAATTAATCCATTTTAAGACTGTTATAAATAAATAAACCCACGCAATTAAATTTATGTTATATGGGTCCGACCCGACTCAAATGACCGCCAACTCGAGGTAGATAAATTTGTTACGAAAGTTTCTAAAAATTTTAGTACCTAATCTGCTATCCCATCAAGAGTTTAAATTTTGCTCTATTCAAAATGTTCAATCCAGAAACCCAAGAGTCTCAAAATAGGCTTTCAAAATTTCACAACCTAAACAGATTCTTTCGCGTTTTGAGAGTAACAGTTGTAAAACCAAGACCGTTTAATTAAGCTTTAAATATACTTAGTGCTCGGCTGAAATTTTGAAAATTAGAACGGCCCAACCAATGTAGGAGAAAAAAAGTTTACGCTAAAATGCCAAACTATTCCGACCACGTTGCCCTTTAGAAAACCAATTGAATATTTAAGGATGTCTGATATTTCGCCCCAACATTAATTTTCACTCAGCACTCACGTTGAAACTTGTTAACATTTAGAATTAACCTGCAAACTTTCGCCATTACGAGCCATCTATGTGGCAAATTAACATTCGACGAGAGCGTTCGTGCGTATAAGAGAACGGGAGACAACGCGAAAATAACCGAAATTGTTTTCTATTTCAGAGTTGGACCTGGATTTTCTGGAACGAAGACAGAATGCGGGTCCAGCTTCAGAGATCGTCCAAAATCCTAAAAGTCCGATTGAAATTAGTCCCGAATCGGTCGACCGCGTTAAGGTTATCGTGTTGGGAGCGCCGGCCGTTGGAAAGACGAGCATTATACAGGCGAGTGATTTATTTATATTTTTTCAACCGACCCTTTTACCTAATTCACGTCCACTTATAATCCAAATGGAGTCATTAACGTGATTAAGAAATTTCAGGGTGGCAGTTTACACACTCGCCTGTTTTCCAACCCCCAACTTTGGATTGGTGCAAATTTAACTCGCGAGGCAATTTTTTGTTTTCCCCCTATTTTACTGTGTCCACTTACTTCAACTATAAATAAAACATTTTTGTACGCATTCGATAGCGAACTAATGGAATTTTTATGTTTTATTCAAATTCCCTCTTGAATTTCAGTTATTTTCTTTTATAGGAAAGAATTTCATCAGATTCCTTTCGGGATCGGCTAATAAAAGATTACACACAAGAATAAAACCGTGAAAGTGCCTGCGAAAAAATGGTATCGTTCGTTCACTACTAGAATGAAAATCAGGGAAACAAGAGATTGTAGTAACTCGTATGGTTTAGATATGTGCGAACTAAGCATAAGTGCAAACCACGGAAAATTCCCTCGCATTTTTATAATTCCATTCACATCTATTTAGTAGTAAGCGAAACATGCCAATTTCAGCGGATATAAAAATGGTAAACAATGAAACTTTTTGCGAGTTACTCATTTAGATGTGGCAAACTCGTATTGTGTCACCATGCGTTGGAAAGCGTTGTGCATTATATTTTTTCGCATGAGCACCTTTAATTGAACTTGTCGAGACCGAAATGATGTACTACTAAATTCATTGCAATTTCCAATTAGGCGGAAGGAAAATCATTACGTTCCATCGAAAACAGGGCACTCACAGCGAATTGTCGATTTCTTTGACTCCCCGACATTTCAATCACTTTTTTAACAAAAGCTTTCCATTAAATAAACCTGATTGTCTTTTGCGCGACACCGCTGTTATTTGTTTATTTTCTCTTGCAGCAATTTGTTTGGAACGACTTTTGCGAGAACTACGTTCCGACGGACCGAAAACACACCTACTATCCGTCTGTTATTACAAACGAACGTCTGTACGAGATAAAAATATCGGATTTGCCGGTCATCCCTTATTTCCCGGTCAACTCCTACTACGAATGGACCGATTATCGCTACTACGGGCTACGCGGGGCGACCGCATACATTCTGGTGTTCGATCTTTCGAACGTCGAAACGTTCCAATATATCAAAACGCTCCGAGAGCAGATTTGCGAGAGCAGAAATATGGCCAACGTGCCCGTCTTGGTAGTGGGCAACAAGGAAGATCTCGTACTGACCGCTGAGGAATCGGCCTCGTCGAGCGGCAAGGCAGCGATTACTAGCGGGCACGATGACAAGCGACGAGACATCATCAATCTGGTGAAAAAGCATTGGAAATCTGGATACGTGGAATGCAGCGCCAAATACAATTGGAAGGTGGTCGGTGTCTTTAAGGAGTTAATGAATATGATCGATAGCATCGAGATCAGGGACCAGAGCCCGATGCTCGATAACATACAGGATGCCTTGGACCGTAATAAGTGTTCTGTGCTTTAATCAAGATGTCTGCCAACCCGATGCTCAAAAGTTACGGATGAGTGCAATAAATTAAGTTATTCGACAATCTATTGCTCATTAGATGCATACAAACCGTAATTCTTTTCCATTATATGTATTAATTGTTAAATAAAGCAATAAAATGTTTAATAATTGACCCCTTCATTTCAGGTTCTCGAATCTTTAGTGAAAAATAATATAAAGCAGGTATCGGTGTCCGAAACTGGATGGAGACCATTGGGATCTCGCAAACCGTAAGAAATACGATTAAATGGAGGCAAAGTTGCACATTTTTTGGCCGAATCTAACGCTATTTAGGAACTGAAGGAATTCTAAATACTTTCACACAAACGCTTTTTTCTGTGTGACTTTATTTGAAAAGATTTTGGAAAACGGGTCCGTTAACTTGGCCCCCGTGATGGCGCTAGCTTTAATTCAAATGACGAAATTGAGTGCATAACCAGATGTACCGAGTGGCACAAATAGTGCTTTTTTACGCGATCCGAGTGGAGTTCACGCGACATTAGTTTACCCTGAGGTTCACATACCCACGACTACAGTGACCTCTATCCGTGACCGCCCATTTTGTATTGAAACATAAATGTAATAGCAGTCCATATACTGTATGGTCTAAGTGTCAAACCCAAAGCGACATTTTGTTACTGAGACAGCCCACTAAAAAACGTCACATTCGCTTATACACGGTATGAGTTTTTTCCGATGTTTAGTATGACCAAAAAGAGCAAAATTGTAGCGTATCAAATAGTTGTATTTTAACTCATTTGAGGAATTTTCGTTTTCTTTTTTTTGAAATTGTATTGTCCGTTTAAAAGAGAGTATTTCTATAATTGAGTCCAATTTTTGTTAGTTATAAGGGTAGGTTCAGTATTTCGTAAATCCAGATTTGTTTTATGATTCAATTTTTGTGCAAATCAGTGATGTTCCTCACCTTATTTTAACAAGCTCATCACTGGTAGGTTATAATTCGATTTGATCCGCCACAGAAGTTGTCAAGGAAATCCTCATCAGTATGAATGCAGATCACGCACTGGGAACAATCATCAAAATTAGTGACTCCAATCTAATTATAAAAGACGCGTTCGTTTATGAATCAATTATAAACCAACTCGCCAATTATAACTCACCGACCTTCATTTAATAACCGTTAATCGACTGTGACGCTTCCTCATAGTTTGATTCGCAGAAATCGACTCGCTTCATAAAACCAGTAAGGCTACGAATTCATAGTCTTAACAATTAAATATGAAGTGAATTTATCGATACTGAGAAAAACACTTAGAAGAGTCATAGCAGTCAGTCTTACATCACCTATAAATGATAAAACGTTGATCTTCCTATTAGTCACTATTCACTATTCACTTTTCCCCCACTGATAAATACATGCTTAAAAAAGGAAAAATCCTACCTTAATAAGGTTGCTCATCTGAAACAGAAAAACTTAAATTAAAAGTTTCGAAATGATTTAAAATCAGTCAAAAGATTGAATGATTAGTAATTAGATTTTGAATTTCTGACAATTAAGATCTAAAACCAAAAAACTTACCCTTATAACCTTATTCACTCGGAATCGCCTGGGTTCACGATCACGGGCTACTGGAAGACGGAAAGGGAGGAGCGTTTTTTTCAAAACTCAACAAGTGCAAAATTGGCGAACACAGAATAGAGCAAAACGCAATACAAACCGTGTTATAAGCATTCAAAATATGTACGGTTTTGCAAAACTCAACAAAACCGTCAGGATTTATCAGTGGCGAAATTGACACCGGTGAATATGATAAGCATGTCCAAAGCACATCTGGAAAAGTCGTAAAAACCAAACAAAATAAACTAGGTATTTTAGTGGTCTCAATAATCCACCAATAGTTAAATGCCCTCACACAGTTTTGCAAAAAACTGGAAAAAAGAAATGCGTAGGCGACGTAGAAGGTAATTTTTCTTAGTACAAACTACAAACTGTAGTGTTATTTTTTACAGATTTTCGGCATCATTGTCTGTCACAAGCTTCTAAAGTTGATCAAGATCGTTTTCTACTGAAATACATGGATATTTCTATTCCCGTACCTACCTCGAAAAGGAAAGTAGTGTAATGACCATAAGTCAAAATCAGTAGTAGTGAAGTATAAAATACGAAAGCTCAGTGGTGTGGTGAAAAAAGCTGTGCGTGAATATTACAGAAATTTTCTACATGGTTATTGGTTAATAACACAAGTACCAAATACATTTTATGTGCAACATCTAACCGTTTAGCTATTTTGGAAAGATACTTTATGCATACTGATGAGATGCCTCAAGAACGACGAGGGGGAGATCGGTCAAAATTACAAGACAAACAAATTTAGGATTCAGTTAGAGCTCAAATCAAATCATACAAATGTCCCGAAAGTCACTCTAGAGCCAAAACATGTAGGTCATATTTACCACCAGAGTTAAATACAGGTACAGCTAATGTAGAAGCAGTTTTGTAACAAACACTCAGGCGCGCAAACATGCTCACTTGCAGAAGTTAAAAAAGTGTTTTATACAGACTTTAATCTTGAATTTGGGAATCCTCATACTGACACTTGCTCCACTTGTAACAAATTTAAAATCTCCATTAAAACTACCAAGGATGCCACCGAAAAAGGAAACCTTAGAACACAGTTCAAACTTCATGAGTTAAGTTAAGAGCAAAAAGATTTTACGACAATATGAAAAGAGAGTCTGCAGATACTACAACAAAATCGTCTTAGACAGGCAGCAGAACCAACCTCTACCAAAACTTTCTGTCGGAGTCGGAGAGGTATTTTTCACAGGTATGGATATATAATCTTACTATTATGATTCACAACCAAAAACAAGACAAAATGTACATTTTTCATTATGTGTGGCTTGAAACAAAAAGTGGAAGAGGAGCCAACGAAGTCGCAAGCTGTGTACAACATTTTTTGGACCACTTGGAAAAAACTTTGGAAATTTGCTAGGTTTTAAGCCAGCCAAAATAAAAATGTAATCCTAATGGGTACACTAACGAATTTCATTGAAAGATCTGAAAAATTTTCAAAGATCTAGCATATTTTCCCTATCAAAGGACACAGTTATATGTCAGCAGATCGTGTATTTGGTGACATGGAGAAAGAATACAGGAAACTAGAAGAAATTATATCACGTAAAGAATATTGTGACATACTTGACAAAACAGGACAGGACTGGATTGTTAAAGATTTAAAAACTCCAGCGAAGAAAATATTCAAAACAAAGTTGCCATTTAAATTATCAGAAGCCAAGGTTATTCAGTACCAACGACTTAGAGACAAGGTGGAAATTTCAGTTTCATCAACGTACTCTGGAAGTGTGGTGGAATGCGAGGTTCTAAAAGATAAAATAAAAAATTCTAGTTTAATGGAAACAGCACAAATTTTGCCAAAGTGAAACATGGTAAACGTTAAGAAAAGGGGTAATGTTAAGTCGCTCTTAGAGTGTGTCGAGATACCTGAGCATGCCAAAGCAATTCTATGACGAAGTAATGGAAGCAGAAAATTCAGGCAATGACAATAATGAAGACAACCTCAATAAACAATATGACGAAAGACGAGAAAAACGCTCCTCTATTATGTTGTCCAATTCCAATACCAGTAACTGAAAAATAGAGAAACAGATGTAAAAAATAAGTTATTAGCAATTCATATTTTGAAATTACTTGGTTAATGTTTACGATTTTTTTAAGTGTATAATCAATAATTGCTTGCTTTAATTTTTACGCCAGTTACATCAAACTTTAGGTTGATTTTTTTTACAATAATAAATTTATAATTCTCACCTCGTTCACGTGAACCGCGTTGGTGTGATTGTTCAACAGCATCGACGGTCGACGTGGACCCGATCTGATCCATCGCGGAACTGGATTCCCTGGTGGGACACGGTCAACTCGCCAAGGGCGACTCGCCACCGACCGACTAGCCAATGGGACAACTCGCCAACGCGACAACTCGCCAACGGGACAACTCGCCAACGCGACAACTCGCCAACGGGACAACTCGCCACCGCGACAACTCGCCAATGCGACAACTCGCCAACGGACGACTCGCCACTGCGACAACTCGCCAACGAAATATTTTTCCCTGTTTAATGTGTCATACAAATGCATCCCACAAATGCAATAGTCAATTTCCCTAATTTTGTAAAAAAAGTTTATCGAAAAATTGTAGACACGACACCATTAAACAAGGAAAAATATTTCGTTGGCGAGTTGTCGCAGTGGCGAGTCGTCCGTTGGCGAGTTGTCGCGGTGGCGAGTTGTCCCGTTGGCGAGTTGTCGCGTTGGCGTTGGCGAGTTGTCGCGTTGGTGAGTTGTCCCGTTGGCGAGTCAGTCGGTGGCGAGTGGTCCGGTGGCGAGTCGCCCTTGGCGAGTTGACGCGTACCGTATGATTGTCGAACATGGCCCAGACAGTCTCCGGTTTGATCTAATGCATCGCAGGGAATGTTGGGGACTTCAGCGTCTGAAACAATCGAAGAGACCAGTAAGTAAATTGGTTCAGATGTGTCTTTTCAACAATATACGAACAGCACTTACCTTCATCTCAGCGGATCTTCGTGTAGAATAATAAATTATAATATATTATAATGATATTCTAAACACGAAGGTCAGCTAAAACAGTTATTGTTGATGTTCCTTTTCGTTTCACTTCCACTATTCACTCCCCCCCCTCTTACATAATAGAACATGCCATAACACCCATGCATAAAAGAAAGATCCTACCTTTATAAAGCCGCCCTTATGTAATCTGTAACAAAAAAAAACTTACGTCAAAATGGCGAAAGAAATGCAAGAGTGGAAATTATATGCAAAATTTATCAAAATAGTATAGTAAGGCCGATTCTGACTCACTTCGACCTTCAAGGGGGCGCTCAGAACTCGCCTCCGCATTGTTGACCTTCAGTGACCTTAGTTCAACCAAGAACCCTAGTTAGTTTGGACAATCATGCGCAAAACTCAAGGTCAAAGTGAGACAGAATCGGCGTTATTGCACTACTTGGTGTCAAGGTTTTTGATGGGACAAACAAGCCTATAATAATAAACGGTCTAGATCAAATGTTGAACAATCGAGCAAAATTGATTATGTAGGTAGATTTACTGATAGAATTAATAGTTATAATTTTGGTAGGGTATTTAACTGGAGGAGGGGGCGGGATATCATCACTATTAATATGCACTGATTAAATCGTCAAAACTTACCCTTTAGCCCTATGCATTGAGGTTTTCCTAAACGGGACCGCCAGTCAATCACTGCCGACTCCTACCAAGCCTCCTCATCTTCATTGTCTCAACTGAAAAATGAAATATTAAATGTTAATGTCTAGGCTTTTTGAGTACAACGAAATTAAAATGTTACAAAATGTAATCAATCTATTCATAATAAACCATTTTGGTCTCTCCCTAATTTTGAACGTTTATTCTACATAAAATTTCTAAAACTTTAAGAAGAAAAGATTGTAAAACCCTAAAATATTTTTAACCAAAAACATTGCTGTTTCTCAAAATCCGAGAAGATACTTAAAATCTTTTTAAAAAAAGTCTAAAATCATTTGCATGGTGCCGAAGAAAGTTTTTCATAATTTCCTTGTCCGTTCTACGCTTTCGTACCAGTCAAATATTGTACAGCTTTTCGATAAACTTGTTTACATAATTAGTCCTTGATCATTATAACATACATTATACATTATACATACTGAGAAGGATAGATACATCGTTGGTTTCACTCAAGGAGTATATCTTGTAGCAGTGTGTATTGTTGGTGGTCTAACCAATTGCAATAACACTGAAATACCAATTGACTACAGAGGAGCCTAACAAAAAGGCTTGTAACAACTGTGTATTCAAAAAATCATAGTTTTATAACAAATTTGTAGGAAGACCTTTAGCTTTACAAAAGCCTTTATATGATTTCAAAAACGGTTTTTAGAAAAACCTCTAAAAAATAAGTGACTGACTTCTTCGGAAGAATATGCCTAGGAATATACACGTATATATTCAGTTTTTTTTTGTAAATTTTCGTTTAATTAATCGTTACAACGAAATTCTGGTTCATATTTGAATGGTTCTCGTTTCAAATGTGTTTCGCAATAAAGGAAAGATGCAATTCTTTATGTTGCTACCGTTTTTTTTATTGCATCTATGAACTACTTAAAAACAACTATTAAACGTACATTTTTGCAATAAAACTGTTAACTGTCAATGAGAAATTGTTATATTTTGTAAAGAAGAAGTTTTAGACTTCAATCAACATATGTGGGACTGCCGATACGTGACGCGGAAACTAATACTGGTCAGGGGGGTTTAATATAAAATTGACACCCCTGATATTTATCGCCATCAGTACGCCACTGCCGAGTTGTTCGTTTATCATACAACTCATTACTTATACTGTGACTCATATTTATCATCAATATTTACTTTGCTTTATAATAATTATCTAACCACTTGACCACAGCTTACTTACTATCTAAGTAAGCTGTGACTTGACCATTTGACTTTTAAGAAAGGGCAATGATGGAAGAACCGGCTCATAGCATTGGAATAAAAACGTGAAAGACGATTAAAAGAGAAATTGGATACCAAGCTGGATCCTCGACTGAATCAGATGGGTAAGTGGTAAGTGCTAAGCACAGATGATCTTGTAAGTCATCTTCTTATTTGACCTGTCTAGGGCCCAACCTCGCGGACTCCACTCAGTCCCAGCCAACTGCACATCCAAGAAGAAGATACAACCGATAGGTACCAAGTAAAGTCGTGTTCGTTTCTTGTGATTAGATCAGTATATCACTTTACTTCGATCGGTGATGAAAGCAGGCCTGGTTCGTGGTGGCCCTTGGCTGGATGATGGATTTGAGCCCCCCCCCGTGGGGTCCTCTCACCGTCAAATTTGTCTATTTGCTCCATGCAACCAATGTGGTTTTAAATAGTTTTAACTTTTAAATGATGTGGTTTAAGTGATTTGTTAATGCCTTCATACGAGCAGCAAATTAACATTTATTAATTGTTGTATATCTACGTGAAAGAACATGTAGTACTACTTAAGAATGACAAGAACTAAAATAGAACAATAATTCAAAAGAGAGGCCAGCTACGAACAAGACAGTGAAAATCACAATGCAAAAAAACAATGCATTACAATTATAAGCAAAACTGTCCTTTGGAGGCCCTCGGTCGCCGACCAGCCGCCCTGGTCAGACTGAACCCGGATGGAAGTGATTTGATTAGACCTTGAATCGAACAACGAAAAATAGTTACCATGGAATACCCAAACGATTGTACGCGTACTGACCTGGATGCAAAATTTACTATGTTCACTTTGAAGTGATATTTCAGTGGTGGGGGTGTACTGATTGAAGCAGAAACGAATGCTGTACGATCACATTTAGTTAGTTAAATCGATACAATGAGGAGAGACGAACACGACTAATGTAATCTAAACAACATCATGGTCACAACAACGGCCGGTATTACAGCATACCTGCTTAACTACGTTGTTCATTCTTTGCAAAAACATCCAATCACAAGCCTTAACAACATTGTTAGTTGACAACAGTTAAGTATGCATTATAATGCTGTGCGATCAAAAATGAGTTGCTGTCAAGTCACCTTTGGAATTTTTGTTTACATGAGAAATCGTACTTAACGTGAACTTCCAAAGGCGACTCCACAGCAACTCATTGTTGATCACCCGTACAGGCCGTATGTGTAGTGTAGGAAGTTTTTCTTGATTGACAACTTCGGCATAGGAATGAACAGCATGTCGACTGTTTCAAGTGCGCCAGCTATATGATCAGAACATGGCCCATCTACTCTATTTTTGCCATCGCCACAAGCTGATATTCGGAAACTGGTGCGTTACAATGATGTGTTTTTTAAAATTAAAACTTGTCGCAGTGTTTTGCAACCGATAAATCCCTAATTTTGTTGTTGCTTTCAGTAAATCTAAATACTCTTAAGCGTGTCTTTTTACTATATGACATCGCCACTGAGCTTAACGTCTGTTGGTCGCTAATGCCATCGTTACATTAATAACTACGAGGAAACTTTTAAAAGTCTACGTACTTACCTCAAGTCAAGATATCCATGAAATCTAAGAGCTCTTGATCTCAGATCGAAACAATAGCACAAAACGTTGTTTTAAACGCGACGCGTACCGCAGAAGCAAACTTATAAAATGGCCGCAATTTTCTTCTGATAAACTTTAAGGAACAGTTTAGGGTTATAGGTACTCAGCACTGAAACTAATGATGTGCTAAGATTCCCTTGTGGGTATCACTATTATTTTTAAGGGTTGAATTGAACAAGACACGTCCGAAATGCATTAAACGCGAACGCGTCCCTACTGTACCAACACGCAAACGCCGATTTAAATTCGAACTTACGTTAAGGTGAACAAAAGTTACGATTTTCCTTTTAAACACCGATTTATTAATTCACGGACTGAAACGAACGACATCGCAGAGTTTTTTCCGCCTGTTTAGTTTGTTGAAGTTTATTTTAATTTCGCACTTCGCAAATTGGAAAGAAACCGAAAAATTACATGAACGCCAGAAGTTATCGTAACGATAAAATGGTGATACTCACTACGTAAGTCGTACGTGAGTCAAATCAAATATCAAAAATTTGTTTGAATTAAATAGATAGAATTACACATACATTTTTATAATAAAATTAATTAAATTCAAATGCATCTACAGACTGCGAACTGTGAATTAAAATTTAAAATTCTCGCTTCTTTTCGTCTTTTTGGCGTACCTCGATTTTTCGCCTACTATCCCTCTGTCGCCATCTACCGGTGTATCATACGTACTACTTACCGATTGTTTTTAAAATCTTTTGTTTATTCATTTAAAACAATGATCTTTGACAAAGGTAAAATGATCAATCAGAGTACTTAGTTGAAACAAAGATTATGATCTTTGGTTCAATCAAAGTTCATAATTTTGAACATTTCCCGTTGTTTCTCACCTTCGGTTCAGGTTTTTTGTATCGAGACTCCCTTATTGTTTACGACAATGATCTTTGGGAATTGCAACAAACATGTGTCCAAAATGTAATGAAAAAATTCCTTGTTTACGGGGAACAAAAGAATTTTGTCCAATATACATATTGTTACAGTCATCCAAAAAGTAATGAGAATTAAAAAAAAAGGAAATTTTTGACTAATAGGTGTAGCGCATGGAGGTGCTTTACATTCACTACGTCTTTATGTTTGTTAGGCGTACCTTTTGAATTAAAACATAGGAAGGGCACTTTAATGAAACCAAGGTTTTATAAAATTATCACTCGCATTTACTAAGTAAATAAACCGATACAACGAAATATCGAAGGATCCTCTATTACTATCACTTTTTAACAACATTTATTTCAACCTTGACATATGGTCAACAAAAATGCTTCAAATTCATGTCTTGCATTTGAGATAATCTTTTATTTTGTAATGATATTGATAAGATCTAGGAAAACCAAAGCAAAATTAATAGAAAAATAAGTACTCTATTTTTTATGAAGCTTTATTGTCAACAACTTATTGAAAGCACTTTACAAATAAGTATATTATTTGTACAATAAAGGTGTAGCTATAAGTTAAAATTAAAAACTTTAGAGATTGCCAAAAGAGACCTTAAAAGTTTGAGAGATTTCAACAGCTCTAAAGAATTTAGAGAAGCTTAAAAGGTGACAGCAACATTAGCAGATAATTTTAAGAGGGCTCCTAGAGAATGGAATTATCGAGAAATAAGCAGGTGAGGAATTTAATGCTATGCCGATTTTTTAGGCAAAAAATGCATCTGCTACACGTAAGTTGCTGAGGCTATTCAAGGCTTGAAACTCTCTACATGTACTGCATACGTACGTAGATCACCTTGTCATTTGTTATAGTGAGTCATATACGTGTAAACTCTGAATTGAGAATTTTTAACGTTTATTTGGCAATGTGGAACTTTTTCAAATTGTTTTAAGAATACAGACTTAAGCCTCCACCTCTGCAATTCGGCATTAACATCTTTAAGCCATGTAATTTTTTTAATTAATTAAAGCTAAGGCCTAAACCCATTGGTAGGAATGTGTATCTTTGTGTCAGTACCTATATTATTTCCTTCCGTAAAACGTTGAAATCTCTGGAAAGGTGCAATGGTTCGTCTACGCCTCTGCATTTTTTTGTTATTAACTCCTCTTCTGTAAACTATGTAAGTTTCGCAAAATATTAATGACAATTGACTTTAACTTACACTCCAATGACCACCAATGGCAATAAGACAACAAATTTTACGTAAACAATTTATTTCAATAACAACAACCTCTCGACCCATAAACAAAACAAAAACGCCCCAAAATGAGATTCATGATTCCGTAAGGATGATAAATGCAAAAATCAGTCATGTGCACTTTGAACCCGTGTACAGTGAACCAAAGCACTCTAAAGTTCATCTTTCGACTTAACGGCGAAGGAATGTAAAATATTAATACGCTGCGAGAGCTCCTCCTTTTTGGTTTTATTGATCTTGCCCTCCTTGACGATCTTGTTCAACCGTAAGAGTTCTTGCTGTACAAACTGGGCACCTTCGCCAATAATCTTCTTCATCAACTTTATATAAATCATTGCAGTGGAGCCCTCCTAAAATATCCACCAAAGTGTATAGGACAGACTAATAAGTTGACTTACCTTTTCAGTCTGGAGCATAGCTTCCGCTTCTTTCAGTACCTCGGCCTTTTTTGGGGCAGCCACAAAGGTTTTTGCCAACTTGTCAAAGCTCTGAATGCAGCCCGGAAGTCCGATATAAATATCCGTGTTGTCTCTAAGGAAATGTCTAAAATCGTCTATGACCCATTCCTTCTTCGCCGGGAAGGGAATTGGATCGCGTCGCCCGTCGACGAACAACAGAACCACGGGGAAATCTTCCTTGGTAATGCCGTACTTTTTCGCCAGTACCTCGTTGTTTTTGTCGCCGTAGTCCTGCACCCCGACACGTGCCACCAACAAGTCTTTGTTCGCTGCTACATCCGAAGATAGTCGCGAGTAGACGTCTTCTTTCTCACCGTAGGGGTACGAAACGTCGAATTTGACTATTACCACTTTGAATTTTGTTATAATCTTGTCGAAATTATATTCATCTAACGATACGCATCCCTTGCACTCATCCCCAAATGCTGTGGGGGTTAAAATTAGTGTGAAAGTCAGTAAAATATAAGTAAAGTCCATTGTTGATATTTGCACTGCAAGGGAACCGGTGAATTTTGTTTTTTAAAGCACTTTTGTGAATGTGACACGTCAGTTGTCCATTTTCTGCAGAGACCTATGTCTCTGATTTTCTGTCACAATTGCATGGCGGCATGCGATTGGTTCATTTTTCGACCGTGTATGATAGGTTGGTGGCCTACCATCCGGGTGCATAACATTCTGAATCGGGAAAGTGTATTTGTATTTTCTTTTTTACTTTTCCATAATGTATTAGAATTGAATAAGCATAAGGTGCTTATTCAATGGTATTAGGTAGTTTATGATCCGTACTAAATAGATAATTTCGTTGAATTTTCGGGCACTAGTGCGCGAAAATAGATTCTCGTCGTTCGTGTTTTATTGGGAAAACAAGATTTAGAATGAAAGAGTGCAAAAAATCCTATACATCATTCCCTGTACCTTTGAATATAAAATTAGTATATTCAAAGCCTGTACCAAAGAATAATGACCATAAGAACTTTGTAGTCGCTAAAATGCTTTGAAAATAAATCAATAAATAGTTTTCCGTGTAATTTTTAACCTTATTAGCTTGACACCATCCATTATAGGTTTTTCATAACTTGACGCCGATTTTGCAGGTAATAAGCTAAATTTTTCTTATAGAACGTGGCCTGTAGAATCCATAATTTTAAACAGTTCCAAGATTGGGCTACTAGTTCAAAAGTTACAGCCCTTTGAATTTTCTTTCGAAATTGGTTTCTAGTCTATAACTTTTGATTGAGAAGTCTAATCGAAAAAGTACGAATTGTTTTGGATTCTACGCACCAAAATTAATAAGAAAAAGTGTTTTCCCGAGAAATTTTGGTGCAGTCGATTTTTGGTAAAAAAGGAAGGTTAATCACTGCCTTTTTTTGAGCCCCGAAGAAAAAATGGTCTCGGATCGACCCGGAAAACACATTTTCTTATAGAACGTGGCCTGTAGAATCCATAATTTCAAACAGTTCCAAGATTGGGCTACTAGTTCAATAGTTACAGCCCTTTGAATTTTCTTTCGAAATTGGTCTATAACTTTTGATTGAAAAGTCTGATCGAAAAAGTACGAATTGTTTTGGATTCTACGCACCAAAATTAATAAGAAAAAGTGTTTTCCCGAGAAATTTTGATGCAGTCGATTTTTGGAAAAAAGGAAGGTTATACACTGCCTTTTTTTGCCCCAAAAAAAAAATTGTCTCAGATCGTCCCGGAAAAAAATGTTTCTTATAGAACGTGGCCTGTAGAATCCATAATTTCAAACAGTTCCAAGATTGGGCTACTAGTTCAAAAGTTACAGCCCTTTGAATTTGTTTCTAGTCTATAACTTGATTGAGAAGTCTGAATAAATGGCAGTTCAAAATGTACGGAGTCTTGCAAGATCTGTAGAGCAATTGTAGTTTAAAGGCCCGGTTTTTGAATAGATAGATTAAATACAATAAGTACTAGTGCGCCATCTCCATGGCAATCGATACACTTTCTATCAATTATAGTTTTAGAAGTCTAGTTGAGATGTCGCCACGCACGCACCTTCTTTTAAAATCTTATTTTAATTTATGCCATTAATAGCAACGTTGCACTTATTATTCCTTAAATGCAGTGCCGTTTTTAAGTTTTTCGGGGCCCTGGGCCATTCGTTCGTGGAGGCCCTCCTTACCCTCAATAAAAACGGCAGATTGGGGAGATTCAAGCAAATCCCTAATTTGAATATGGGCACTCGATATTTGTGTAGCCTGGTTTGTAGGCAACACATCATGCTCAATGAACAGAAAACATTTATTTTGCAATTCGCAACTTCTTATGCATAGGAGTTTATTTAAAGCCCTTGGAAGAACAATTTCAATAACAGGTACATTAAACTGAACCGTTTTACAACAATTTTCACACGAAGATCGCACAAACAACACATTTTTTCACGATTGCAAACTGCGTAACACTTTTGCCTTATTTCGCTGCCAATTTCACTACCGTTTCTATAACCGTAGTTCTATCAAATAAACTCTAGGCTCAATTCTTTACAGAATAGCTTCGCACCATCGCCAGCTGCTGCAATCATGTAATCGTTCCGATTTTAACCTTGAGAAGTTTGAATTGCATTAGAATGGGTTTTCTGCGAGTTCTCCATGGTGTCCTCCTGTTTTGGTTACAAAGCATTTCACTTTTTAATTTGTGTTGTCTGAATTCAATGCTAACGTTTCTCGTCCATCGAGAACTACATGTCTTCGATTGCACGACCCAGAGCGGACAGTATCATATTCCGCAAAGGTTGTGTCTGCCGTTTTCCTGTCACTCCCAGTAGCCAGTTCCCTAATTTAAACCTGTAAGCGAGAAAGGAATGATAACAAAGTTTAATTTTTGACTATAAAATAAACAAACATTCATTATGCATTTGAGGTTAAAACTTCATATATCTATGGTTTTTAAAATCTGCGCTCTGACATCTAACGTTTGTTTCATAAAGTACATTACAAAATTACTGTGGCGACATCTTTGAGGTCTAAGTTCCAACTAAAATAATGTTGGTAATAAAGTGTCCTGCATTTAGCGATAAAATGTAGTCCCCAATAATAAAGACCGATGTCAGCACAATGTATTCTGCTTTGATTCCAAAAACCTCAGGCAAGGCTATAAACATTTTGGGATTTGTGCCTTTCGTTGTCAAAGGAGTAAACCACGAAACTCTAAAATTAAACACGCTCCTGTATGATAGCCTATTCCTTTGCGTCATAGCGTTTTTGGAATGCCAAAGGACAGGGCGGGTAAACGGACGGCCTTCCATATACCTCTTTGGTATACCTAAACCTAGATTTTTGACGATTTTAATAAAGTATCTGTTCGCAATACACGAGTTAAATCGCCATAATGGGCTACTAGTTCAAAAGTTACAGCCCTTTGAATTTTCTTTCGAAATTGGTCTATAACTTTTGACTGAGAAGTCTGATCGAAAAAGTACGAATTGTTTTGGATTCTACGCACCAAAATTAATAAGAAAAAGTGTTTTCCCGGGAAATTTTGGTGCAGTCGATTTTTGGTAAAAAAGGAAGGTTATACACTGCCTTTTTTTGAGCCCCGAAGAAAAAATTGTCTCAGATCGACCCGGAAAAAAATTTTTCTAATAGAATGTGGCCTGTAGAATCCATAATTTCAAACAGTTCCAAGATTGGAACTGCTGCATTTGCAGTAGCACGAACCTGTGCAGGCGTGCAGTTAATATACACGAAGATTATCGCAACCAAAAGTTTTGAACAATAATTCAAATTTCTAGATTTCTACTTTTACTTTTATATAAATACCATGCGATCTAACGAGTTTCTGTCGAGTCGCCTTTGGAATTGTTGTTTACATGAATTTCCAAAGGCGACTCGACAGCAATTAATTTTTGATCTGTGGAGCTAAAGCAACAATGTTCAAATTAATATGACAGCCAGATTTTTATTTGTTTCAAGAAGTTATTTTGGTTGCAGGCGTCTTTCGGGAGATTTTTTATCATGTAAAAGTAGACATAGGAAATCCCTATATCTACTTCTACATGAATATCACTGTAGATAAACTGTGCAAAGTTTGAACCGAATCGATCCAAGCACTTGGCAGTTATCATATTCACGAATAGGCAGACAGACGGACACCATGGAATAGCTTGCATCGCTTTGCTCTATCGCTTAATAACTGAGAAACAATTGGAAATAGAATAAAAAGCTTTATTGATAAAATGATAATACTTAAATCGAATACAGGACTAAATTACTTTAGTTCATCTGCATCTACCGGCTCATTCACTTGCAATTGATACGAAGTAGCATTTTCATACGCCTTTCGAACGGCTTTCCTATCAGTTGCTTTCTTCGATTCGTTTACTTTAGCTTCGTCACGTTCCTTGTCGATACCAAGAGCTTCCAACTTTTCAGCAGGTAACCACTGCCATGTCCTCTTAGCGTCAAAAAATAATACTAAATAAACATGCTCCGTATGATTAGAATGTAATGCGAGAACCTCAGGTGAGGGCGTCGGAATGGGAACGCCGCGATATACAAAACCTTAAAAACAAACTGCGAATCTGCTCGAGACATTTAATCAACTCACCTTTGGGAACCTCGGGATCGATAATTAGCGCAGGATACCACGGATAACCTCTGCACTTTGCCCATACCAGCTGCATAGGCTCGAGCGTCAATTTTTCGGCCGAATTTTCATTACTCTCAATGCCCGACATGTCGGTGACGCAAACTGAACTGGACGAATCCTCGTCGGAGTCTATCTCTGATGACTCACGCGAGTAGCAAGTCGACAGGCTGGAGCTGTCGCTGTTCTCGTCCCCGGAAGTTTGGTGACCGGCACGATAAATTCGGAAACTATCGGGCATTGAGGAATTACCGTTTTTTGAATCGACCAGTTGGGATTCGGGCTCGCTCGCGCCGCGACGAGGTCTGCCCTTTTTCTTCCTATAAGTTGATCATTTGTCAATTTTTTTGGCTACTGGCTGGTGACATCGTACCATTATGCTAGCTAAAGCGAAGTCTTATAGACTCGGTGTCGTTTCTCTCGATGGTTGTGAGCTAGAGAGTCTGCAAAGGATTCGCAAAAATTATAGCTTTTAGTTTCAAAGATAAGTATAACAACATCAGTTAAGGATGGGTTAAATTACATTTTTCTGTGACCAGCCTCACTTCTAATTAACCGACATTAGTGATGGGATGGAGAGGCGGTCTTCAATTTCCACTTTTTTTTTGTCTGCAAAGACAGTGAACGTCCTTAGAAAAAGTGCAAGATCTACAGGGACATGTTTCTTAGCTCACAACCATGGGGGGGCAAATAGAACCGAGATTTCTATAAGAACTTGTATTGGCTCATGAGGCAAAAAGAAAAGAGACAATGGGCCCAAACCTTTTATTTAATGGGTCGGTTACTTACGGCTTTGACTCTGTTTGCTGCGTTTCCTCCTTGTCCTCTTTCTCCTCGCTCGGTTTCTTTAAGGCAGCGAGTGCCTTCCTCGTGAAAAGAACTGCAGTTCGGCGATTAACCCCGCTGGGCGAATTGGCTAGAAGAAGCACAAACGTATACTCGCAATAACACTAAAAGATGGCGTACATGTACTGGGATTCGACGCCTTTGGGTCGATGGAGTCGTTATCGCCATCCGATTGTGAACTTAAACTGTCAGTCGTGATTAAGGTTTTTTTCACTTTCGTCAGTTCGCTTCGGATGAGCTTCACGCGTTTGGCGCGAGCTAATCCGTGCTTCAAGGCTTGGCTTTTGACGAGCAGATCTTCCAGCTTTGTAAAAACGTCCGGCCCACTCTTTCCCTGCGAAAAAAAAAGTGGTGCATTACCATCTCTGTGAAGGGAAGCCTAAAAATGTGTCTGGAACAGTTCGTTGTTGAGCGAGGCGAGAGGTGCATTTCTGTCAAATAGGTTGCAAATGTGCAATTGTCGATGGCAAAAGTATGGTAACGATCAAAAATGCTGTTTCGCTATAGGCACAAAGTAATTGTGCATTTGTAGGTATCATTATCGATATATGGGCTATATTTTTTGTTATAGAAATTATAGTTTAAAAATGGCTAAAATTTATTACCCCTTCCAACATTTTTAAAGAGGGAATCAGCACAAATGTCCAGTGGATTAATCTGTATGCGGCTTGAATGACTGAAAATAACAGCCGGTGCACCGCTGATTACGGAGAGACATCTACCAGAGAAGACTTAATAATGTGCGTGATGAAAATATATACAAAAATCGTGCGAATACGGTCCCTTAATCAATTCTCTTCATTTTCGCGTGTTTAGTTTTTTTGTTTGGTAATAGAAGAATAAAGATTATTATTTTATTATTTTCGTTTACTGATTTTTATAATTATTACATTAATTGACTTAAGATTTTATAGTTGTATCATTGGCTGTAATGTAGACTTCGTATTATCATCTTGGTATTATTATTATTAATTCAAATTTCATTTCTTTAAGACATATATCGAATTATTATTATTATTATTATTGGTCAATCCCTATACATCACGAACATGCAAGAAAAATCAACATCAACTGTAGTACATTCAACTAAGAAGTATATGGGCTCAAACGAAAGTAAACAACAACATTATTTATTAATTTCTTAAGAGTCACTACAAATGCATTCGATAAACATAACACCGCATTCCGTTGGTCCACCACAAATATACTTCTATTTATGTACAGTTAGTGTTCAAAACCTAAAAGTAGGTTAGGTGTGAAAGAAGACTAAAAAAACTACTCAAGCATTTAACAGTCCTAAATACCTGCAGATCTTCCAATTCTTTATCGATATCGGATGCCAGCGATTCCTCGTTCCCCACGGATGACGCCTGTAAATTTTCAATCGGATTAACTAGACCGGACTCCTCGAATTCCTTTTGCGCCTGCCGGAAGATAGCGCCGCACTGATCGCGCATTTTAATCGCCGCACTACAATCGCGACTGTTACCTTTGCATACAAACATACAATTCTTACCGATAGAAGACAGTGTCTCGGTTATTGTAGGCGAGGCAATTGGCGATCATCAAATCAAAATCCTTTTCCATGGCGGTCAAGTTGGGGTAGTTGCCCACGTCAAGTTTGACGCGCATCGTGCTCAAATCCATCGGATCGGATACAACCGATAGGTAGTCGGGCACCTCCTCGAGGTCCACGGGCTCACTGAAGATGTCATTCGTGTCTTTGGCCGAGATTAAATCGAGAACTTTTCGCAAGCTCGCTTGCAGTGGGCGCAGCTCGACGTTCAGACAACGCTCCGTCGCTTTTATATACTCAAGCTTGAACTTCTCGCGCTTGCGCACCAACTCGCACAGCAAACGCGCGCGCTCCAAATCTTGTCTCAGGCACTGCCAGTACTTCAATTGTCGACACAGCTCGATAATATCCACGCTGCCAGTATTCGAATCTCTCGGCCCACCTTGCGCGCTCTGCAATCGTCGCAACAGAGGCACTCCGTTGCGATATTGACGCTTTAACGTCCAATACGCGATCAGTCGCTGAATAAACTGAGACTTTTTCGTTATCGTCACCAGAGACGCAATCTCCTGGATGCGTTCCGGCGGAATCGTCGGGATAAGTATGATAGGCACGAAATTGCGCTTCTTCGCGAGAAGCTTGCGGACTTGCTTCATCTTCTGCCTCGAGTCCTCCTTCACGCAATCTAAAAAACGCGATTGTACCACGCGAAGCATTTAGGAACAGACGTTACCGGTATCTGAGGGGGCGTGCACGTCACAGTAGGCGGTTTTTTGCACCAAAACCGGCTGCGCATCGCCCGAATCTTTCACCGTGTCCATCTTCATGTACAGGCCCGCCTGCTGGGCGCAGGTCACGTGAAAGGCGGCGTAACAATTTGTCTTTTGACACTGTATGCAAGCGCCCACGCCTTTTTGCTTGCAAACGTAGCAGGAGAGCTTCCATCGGGCCGGAGGTATTGTCTCGATCGAATCTGGAAATATAAAGAGGGTGAAAAACAAACTCAAATCGACCCTCCTCTCCCTTCCTTTTGTTGTAAAAATATGTTTATTCTACTGAGAAGTGTGAATTTAGCGCTTAAAATTTTTGGGGTTTTGTTTTTCAGATTGAATTGGCTCCACTTCAACCAAGCAGCCGTTATCTGTTTGTGTGCCTAACTCAATCGATCACACACGGATCGATGGCATTGCGGTTGCCTTTTATGAGTTCAAAATGTTATCGCCAGTACTCAATCCCAATGCGATTGATTACTTCGCAATTGCTTTTGTTTTAAATCAAAATGGAGGTATACAGGGTGGTGACTTGCGTCGCGCATCATAGGGAATTCAATGTAAAATTCATAACATGCCATTATTGGCTCCCCAAATTATTTTAGAGAAAAAATGTATTAAGGTTTTTTGTAGAAAAAAATTTTTTACGTCAATCAACCGTATTAGTTTTCAATTTTTTGCATAATAAAGACGGAAAATTGGATAAATAAAACCCGCATCTTTTTCAATAATCTGTGATGCCATGGAATTTTATAATACAAAAACTACGCCAATATCCGTCATGCCATGGAATGTCTGCTATAAAACAAAATACAAATCAAATTATATCAAAAAGTATTATATTTGTAACAGCAAATTCAACATAAAGAAAGACCAAATTACTAAAAACGGTTTCCTAATATAACAATTTACAATAAATGTTCGAATAAGTCACCATTAACTGCAACCAAGTCGATCATAAAATCCATTTCGAACTGCTGATAATTGATAACTTTTGGATATCTTTTTGTTTTAGAAAATTCCATGGCATCGCAGATTATTGAAAAAGATGCGGGTTTTATTTTTTCAATTTTCCGTCTTTATATGAAAAAAATTGAAAACTAATACCGTTGATTGGCGTAAAAAAAAATTTCCTACAAAAAACCTTAATACATTTTTGCTCTAAAATAATTTGGGGAGCCAATAATCGCATGTTATGAATTTTACATTGAAATCCCTATGATGCGTTACGCAAGTCACCACCCTGTATAATCCGCCGATAAGTACGGCCGCCGAAAAGTGTTCCCGCCGAGAAGCCTCGTTCGCCGAAACGCAAAGAAATTTGCGAGCGATCGCGCGTACGCTGTTTTTGCGTTAGTTTTTCTAGTTGTATTATAAATTGTGACCCCCTCCCCCCACTTTTTTGACTGAAATACACGCTTTGAAGCACCAGGAATCCGATTCAAACACAATCTCAATGATGTCGATTGATCTGTCTGCCTGTACTCTCATTTCCGGCTAAACGGTTGAACCCAAATTTTGTACACCGAGTTGTACACCTATTCTTAGACATCAAATCTGTGTTGGCCATAGCAAATTTTGTTAATGTTGAAAGATGTAGCATTTTTAACAAGATACGAAGAATCGCATATGATTTTCAGTAGGGGAATTTGCCACTCGCCAGCTCGCATTCGGAAACCAGACTTTTAATCCGGCTCATATTCAATAGCCCTGATCCTTGAACACGTAGAAATCAATTTGCGAAAGTTTGACATAGCTATCTCTTTTATTTCTCGAGTTAGGCGAGGAACAGAAGGACAGACAGATGGACACAACCGTCACATAAGGGGAATTATTTTCTTTCGAAAAATTCCCCTTATACATAATTCTCAATTAACTATTATTATGAAAAAGTCAAAAAGAACGCAGGAAATCGTCAAACTGTGCAACATTATTAACCGGTGGTTCATATTTTTATTCTAGCCAAGCAAGAAACGTAATTAAATCGTATCAAAAATCACAGCCAAGGCTTACCTATAGGCTCTAAAAATACTGTATTGGCGAACCGAACCTCGGGTATCCACAAGGCGCACACGACGTGCGCCCAGTGTCCCCGATCGGTCTGCTTGAAGGCTCCTCCCTGATTGGGGCAGAGGACGCAGTCGACCGCTCGACTGGGCGACTGCAAGCACCGTCTACACAGCCACTGACCTTCCGGAATGTAAGGAACACCGTAGCAGTCCTGGTGGACCGCCAAGTTACACATATCACAGAAGAGTATGACGTTCGTGTTTTGACATTCTCCATCCATGCAGATGCAACACACGGCGTCATCGTCAACCACACTACCCGTCTGTCCGTTTACAGCTGCCTGAAAGTACGACTCCTTCTCCAAACGGTCCATCAGCAACTCTAACGAATCAACAGATACCGGTGCCAAACCTTGCGCCTCTCGTTTCTCGTTCATTATACTCAACCATGCTGTGTCTTCCTCGTCAACGTCGTACTCCACCTAAAATTCTCCCTGAGCATAAATTAGCGACATACAAATCTACCTCGCCGTCTAACTCCTCCGCGCTCTTCTCGATAAAACGAATGTATGCGTTCGGACGTGGGGGCGCATCGCAAATGTTATAATTGTCCAGTTTCTTAAATACTGCTTCTGGTAGCGAAATGGATGGCTCTGGTTCGAAGGCCGGTTTCACATCATCGTCCGGGAAATCCTCCTTGGAATGGACATCCAACGATTCGTTGATGTTAATACGTACAATTTCACCATTTATTTCCAACTGGATAATCTTTTGTGCCTCATCGTAAGTTAGGGGTTCGGGAGCAGTAGGAAGGGTCGGTTGAGGTATGGTCGCTGTTGTTCGTGGCCTGCCTTTCTTGTTTTTCGACGTCTGTGGTGTAAGGGCTTGTGCGTTCGGGTTGTTGTGATCGAAGCTCTTTAAGTGATATTGAAGTCCGCAAACGGACTTGTAGGTGCGACAACATTTTTCAATGGGACACGTGTAGGGTGGACCGTGATCTGCACGTACTTTTCTGCAGTGTTCTAAAATATCGAAGTCTAACCCCATGGTTTTAGAGGTTAGGTCATGATGTCTGTTTTTATTGTACTGGAAAGGTAATAAGTTTTTGAATAAATTACTAGCAATTAATCTTGAACAATGCACATTCTTCGTAAAATCACGTTTATTTGCTATTTCTAGAAAAATATAAAAGTAAACAGTAAATCAGCAAAGCCATATGAGACATCCCTACAGGACTTTACTTATACTTATTTTTGGGCGGGAAAGTTATCAACACATATATACAGTATGTGTCAAATTACAAGTGATTGTGATTTAAGTAATTGGTTTCAAAGTGGTAAACGAATTTTCCAAGCTTGGCTCGTTTACACAGCGCAGGTGGCAGTTGGGACGCTCCTACAATAAGAAAATCGTAGTAGGTGAGTACCCCAAAATCAATACTCGACTAACTTACACCGATTTTCCTTAATTTAACATTCAAAATGTCCTGAACTGAGATGATCGGTTTGGCAACTTCGAGTGTGTTCTTTTTTTCCTTTACCTCACTCTTCTGCACAGCTGCATTTGATTGTAGGGGTGGAGGCGGCGGAGGTGGAAGCGGAGGAGGTGGAGGTACCGATACGATTTTACTGTCACGTAGGTCACGCTTGACGTTCACGTTGGCCTTAAAGTTCTGCAATTCTTGATTAAGCGATTCCCAATTCTCTTTGTTCTGCTCTTTTATCGACAGTATGTCCGAGCGTAAGCTCTCAAAACTGCTTATTAAGGCTGTAGTCTGATTAAGATAAGTGGCGCAATTGCTGCAGTTGACGGGTGTGGATTTACGTGGATAAAGCGAAACCAAAACCCGTTGAATTGTATATCCGAGCCACCTGAAGAAATCGACGATTTGGGTAGGTAATTGGTCAAAGTACCTCCCATGATGGTGGTTCTTAATCTTGGAAACAACACGTGCTTTAAATGTACATACCTCGCAAGTACGCCTAACTGAAACACGTTCCAGGTGGTAAAATCTTAGGGAGGGGGGTTTGTAATAAAGCAATGCTGATGACGACGATGTGGTACAGTTACGTTTCTTAATCCTCTTCGGGAGATCAGTTTGTATACCAATAGAATGTGAAAAGGCCAGATTGGGACGGAATTCCTCATTATGGACTGAACAGGACTCCTCTTGGTGCTCATCGTCAACAGGGATCAATTCGCTTTGTGCATTTCCGTTTAAGCAACGGACATTTGTTGATGTAAATATCTTCTTTAAATCCATGTAGCTTACGCTAAAGTGTGGCTTACAAAAATACGCTTTCTGTGTAGCCAAGAAGTTGGAATCTGTAACTTTAACTTCGCTGCCCGATGAAAAGGGAACATCTTCCTCGATTGTTGATTGTTGACTTTCACGTTTTCTGCATTCCCTTTTATTTGCCATTTTATTGTTTAATCATTTAGGGCCACTGTAAAATTACATTTATCAATTAAATTGAGATTCGTGTAAAAAAGTTGTAATGACATTTTCAAATTTCAGCCCTCTATTTTGGCAAAAAAATTACTATTCCTACTAACACTAGAAGGGAAGTTTTGTTTATAACCGGGTAGGTAAAACCAAAAATTTACACACATAAAATAGATAGCGTCCCCATTTGATAAATAGGTATACATTACTAATTTATTGATTAACTTAAATACGAGCACGTTGCATTTCTTCGTTCAAGAAATACTCTTGAAGATTGTTCAATTTGTTGATGTACTCCTTTTGTAGCTCGTCGGTGGGGGGTAGCGTGCCTCCTAATTCTTTCGGTAGGTATTCTTTCGAAATATGATTCGCGTGAAATTCATCCCAACTCATCCCAGGTTTGTGACACCTCAACTTTACGATTGAAAGTTACTATACAAAGAACAATCTTAACGCACAACTTACTTTGCTGAGAAATACTTTATCGGCGAAGGGTCGCACTAAAACCAGTATCTTCTCGAAGAAAAAATTTGTGTTGAGGCAGTGAATTTCCTTGATCGCGACTGGCGTTCCACTCTGAAAATACTCAACGCTTGTCTTCAGAGTGAAGAATTTTAATTTGGCGAAGTGCCACATTCCTCCCTATAATCATGCTTGCAAATATTGCCGAGTTGGTTATACGAATCATACGTTTTCCATGTTTACAATTAGTTTTATGCCATTGATGGGTTGATGGTACACTTCAGCTTCAAACACCATAAACAGTCCTTTAAAAAACTCGTCCAAATTAAACTTTCTGTAGTCACCGTCAATCAGAGATACGTATATTATAACGCAGCCGTCTTCGGTTTTCTCGGGCATACAACAAACTTGGCTACGACAAAGATAAGAATCAGAGACAAACGGCACTAAAATGATAAATAAATTTGGGATACTATATTTTTCTAAACTTTGTACATGGTTCCACTGAAACGTGGTGAGAAAACATCAAAATCCTAGTACCTACTTGGCTTTATAATTTGAAAAACCTACCACGTACCTATACTGATATATACTCTTTTGTTTTACTCACAAGACATCGTAAAAACTTTGGTCCAATTTTCTTTTGTTGAACACTTTAGGCAGGCTCCTTTTGCAGTGGTAAGAAATCTTGATCGCTGCTTTCGCTCGTTCCACGTCTTCTTCCTCTTTAATCAGAAACAATAGAATTTGTTCACTCGTAAGAGGGGGCAGCTTTTCTTCGGGTAGCCATTTCTTCAACCGCTTCACCTTTTCATCTGTACCGCCGTATTTCTCCAATTCTTCGGTAGTAAAGCCCAGCACCATAGCGATAGTGTTCCTTGTACTTACATTTAAGTAAAAAATGATTAATCAATCAATTACTTTACTTTATCTAGACGTAATTGTAGATATACCTACATTGTACTTGTATTTATGATAATAAGTGCTCGTTATTTTTGCTATCGTATTATGACCGATACTGGAATCTAGGTGCTTAATTGGGTATTGATTTAATTCGTTGTAGGTCTTCAATTTAAATGGTTTTTGCAGATTTATTTAGATTATCTATACATGGTGCTCCAGGTTGAATAAGAGCGCATGGGAAATTTTAATACTATGAAAAGGCAAATAAAGATCTCTGCCAGTGCCAGGCCAGTTAAAAGCTGTGGCAGAAAGTTTCATATGAAACCTATCGATAACATAATCCAAAAATGATAATTATTTTTAATTCGCCTGTTGACAGCAGTATAAGTGTGTTCATGGTGGATTTCTCCTATTTGTGCTTGATACGACACTAAAATATTACTGTCGCAACTCGCAATTGCATATTTTATAGTGAACCCTCTAATCCCAAGAAAAACAATGATGCATTGTAATAATTAGAAACGTAAGCTTTCTTGAGACAGCTGCAGAATTCTCTACGTATTGTTCTAAAACATGCCTGTAAAGTAAAATACTATGTGTTAAGGTTGGTTCATACTATAATATAGCTCATATGATATTTTATATGTATGCTGTGGTATGTTGTATGAATGTTTTGTATCTGCAAAGGTTTTACTTCAAAACCCAAGGCAGCCTTGAACCAGAAAATTATTACAGAGAGGCGACATAAAGGACATGGAATCGCTACAATGCTACATAAAAATTTAAATATTAGCTAGTTTTAAAAATTGTACGTGGATGATATGCACCTTTATTTGAGAGATTATACTGTCACCACGAATGATAACCGACAGTTTTCAGTACAACAGTAAAATGTGAAAAGTAAAATAAGTCACGTCATGTCACCCAAATACAGAAACGTTTCAATGGCCCATATGAATAAAAATAAGCAAATGCTTATACTTGCAAAATTCAAAGTAAATACTCGTAACTGCCCCTTCATACTGGTCTGTTTAGCAGCGCTGCACTGCGTCCTGCCCTGCTGCTCAGCAGCGCTGCTAAGTCGCCCAGTGTGAAGGAGCACTTACGAGTATTTACTTTGAATTTTGCAAGTATAAGCATTTGCTTACTTTTATTCATACGGGCCAATTTCTCGATTTACTTAGGATTTGTCTTTTGACTGTCGTAATACAAAAAATAATATAAACACAAATCCAAACGATTGTTCCTCATCATATCACAAATTGAGAAATTGGTAGGATAGTGAAATTCATCCTTCAAAATCATTTCGGGGGACAAATTTTATACAGGCGGTGTTTATCTGTTGTAGTATTAACAGAGATGGTATGGGAACCACAGACATGCAACATTTTTAGGTTAAAATGTTTTTATCCCAAATATTTCGGATAATCTAAGTTAAATGCCCAAAAAAAGCGAACAAATGTCTGCCAGCTACTATTTCGTAATTGTAGGCCACCGAGATAATCCTATCTTCGAAGTGGAATTCACTAATGTGAAGGAGCCGAAGGTTTGTACCCATCTTCGAAACCGTTACCAAGTATACCGGCTTTTAGAAGGAAGATCATAGACATTTAAACCAATTCATCGCGCACGCCGCCCTAGATTTAATAGACGAGCACAAATGGAAGACACACAACATGTATTTGAAGTCGGTCGACAAATTCAACCAATGGTTTGTTTCAGCGTTTATAACGGCCAGCCACATACGTTTCGTGATGGTGCACGATAACAAGAACGAGGATGGCATTAAGAACTTTTTTAATGACATTTACGAATTGTATATTAAGCATTCCATGAATCCGTTTTATGAGGAAGATAAACCAATCAAGTCGAGCGTGTTTGAGAAGAAGGCACAGTTTTATGGCAAGAAATACTTGTCGTGCTAGTAGTTTTATTATTATAGTAATTGTATTGTATTGCACGTTTAGGTAAATAAATGAAAAACACTTTTTCATTCTTTAATAGGTACCCAAAGAGAAAGGCTTAGAAGTAAAATAGGTTCAAGAATTTCTCGAAATAATAAACCAGAATGAAAGCATGACAGAATTCTGGTCTTTGAAATGCTCTGTGAAACGGAACACTCGAAAGGTTTTGTTTTCAAAGCACATAGAAAGGTTTGAAGGCTGACGAAGATGTGGAGTGGTGGAAAATGCTAAAGTGTTTCTAGAAACCACCTCTGAAGGCTCTGACAGTTTTCTGGTCCAACCTTTCTATGTCTCATGGTAAAAAGTGCTCAAAGCCCCAGAAAGAGTCTTAACGGATATAGGAAAAAGTGTATAAAGAATTGTGGAAGAGCTTGTAAGTATGGTCTTTCCATTTCTCTTTAGACCCTTATTGTTACAGTGAGTTTTGTAGGCTGGCTTAGTTCTACAAAGGAGTTAAAAAAACTAGAAAGAGCACAGAAGTCTTGTAAAGCCCTAAATGCTTTATTGGAAAGTGTTCTAAGTACTAGATCCTTTCCAGTTCTGGACTGGGCCTTACAGGTCCTTTCGAGATCTAGCTTTAGGAAGGGTCACTAGCAGGCTTAAAGTTTACTGTTCGTACGTATTTAGAGCTCCCAAATCATAAAATAAGTGTAAATGACTTACTAAAACGTATAAAAGATAAAAGAAGCGGTCCAGATTAGGAGGTCAAGTTTTTGGCAGATAGGGATTATCTGTGAAAGTATTAATTATGTAAATTCAAAACCCATTCTATAAATTGCAGCTACTTTCTTTACACTAAAAAAAACAGAAATAAGTTAAAATTAAAGAATTTATAGTCACTACATAAACCAAACTTAATTGGTGAAATTTGATTTGATTACAGTTAAATCAAGCTTCATTTGTTTATCACCGCTAACTTTAAACAAAGATAGGTGAGCAATGTAATACTAAAAATAGATTAGTGAGCTATTTGTGATCCGATTTCAATTGCAAATGGAAGCAAAATTTCGATTTACAGCGACTGACTTAATCTCAAAGGGGCGCGTCGATGCTGCCAACATACAAAGCATCAAAGAATGGTTGGCGTCTGAAAATCTCCCACGACTGAGCGATGAACTGATATCGCAGTTTCTTATTTCTACCTGTCACGATGTACAAATGGCCACGGTAACAATCAAGAATTACTTCCGGATCAGACAGTCAACACCCGAGATGTTTTCGGAACGTCATGTAGAAAAAATGCTACAAGTGGGGTAAGTCCAACCAATCTGGAATTGTTCATCGGCAAGATTTCGTAGATTCTACTGCGTGTTACCGAGACGCACGGCGGATAACTGCGCGATAATTGTGGTAAAACTACGCGACGGTGACGCGCGAAAGTTCGATTTTACGGAGCATCTCCGACTGATTTGCATGGTATTGGATTTGGTCGTGTACGAGGATCCACCCGACGGTCTGATCAGCATTTTGGACTTGCAAGGGAGCAGTTTGAGGCACCTTACTTCGATTAGTTTACGATTGGCCGCCACTTTCGCCGCCTACGTGCAAGATGCGATACCGCTCAAAGTGCGAGCCGTACATCTAATTAATGGGGGCGCGGTTCTCCACACTTTGTTTACAATGTTCGCGCCGTTTCTTAAGGCACAAGTTCGAGAGATGGTAACGTCCTGCAGAGAGCTGGAAACTAGTTACTTTTTTAGTTAGCATAACAATAAAAGTAGAGGCAGGTCTCCCTTAGATAGAAATCGCATGCAAGTAAAAGCTTCTAGTTCCCAATTCACGCATAGAATTTAACTTAAAATAAGCAAGCGCAAACGGAGGAGGACTATATCCAGATACACCTGGCTATTTATGCACTTTTAAGAATGAAATTTAAAATTATAATTGCTTGTCAGTAATTCAAATACAAAATTTAACTTACAAAAGCAGTGGCGCCGCCAGAAATATTTTAATGGGTGGGCCAACCTGGGACGAATATGTTTTAGGTTGGCCCATAGGTCATTTGTGTAATGTATTCAAATTTTCTTGGAGCTTTAACACCCCTTAAATTTGTAAGTTAGCCACGCCCACGTCTGTCAGAGCACTGTTTTCTGAATGTAAATGTCTTTAATCTATTCTATTTTAAACTTCCTTGCCTTCTTTATTACAACAAATAACATTTGGAAAAATTGATTTTAAAAACATCTTACTCTATACCAATAACAATAATAATTAAAAAACAAATTGTGAAAAGTGAATTTGATTGAATATTTGGAGAAATGGGAAAAAAGTCAAACGATCCGCGTACCGATTCACGGCGCAATTCGCAATCTGCTCACGAGAGCGCTGATCATTTTTCAAAGGGGGTCGAGCAGAACTACCCCTTGGCGGCGCCATTTGTATAATAGATAAGTTTTTGAATTTATTTGCTTGAAAGAGCCGTTTTAACCACTATTCCCTAAAAAAATGTTAGATCATTCCTAGAAGTGGTGGTTCAACAGGTTTTTTTAATAAATATAGTAATTGCTAGGTCGATCACTGATGAATTACCAATTTCAGATACATTTGCAAACAATCGGAGAGGAGTTTCATACAAACTGGATTGAGAAAGAGTACCTACCGGGGGAGTACGGGGGCTACTTGGCACCTATCGAGGTTCACTCTGACGCAACAATTGGGAAATTGAGTTTAAGTCAATGCTGAATGTGTTTCAAATTCTCTAATAAATGTAAACAAAGTACGAACAACGTAATGTAATACTGTAAATCAAGAAAAGGAGGTAACACTGATTAAAATACCGCTCGTAAAGTTTTTCGTACGAAATCTGCATTGCGAGAAAGCAGCAGAGCTCGCAGCATTTTCTTTTGTTTCGTCACAGTTTCCAGCTCGGTTGCGATTTTGTGCGCGGAGGCGATTATTTCCTTAGGTAATCCCGCCAACTTCGCTGCGTTGAATCCGTACGATTTTGGACAATTTCCCTCCTTTAGTTGGTAGAGTAAGGTAACGGACATCATTGGGTCATCCTCCTCCTGCTCCTCGGTCATGCAGGCCTAAAAACAATAATGAAACACAAGAACAGGAAGCGGATACCATACCATGTGTCCCAGTTGAATGTTTTCGTAACCACTGTAAAAGTCGACGAGCGAGTGGTAGTGCGTCGAAAATATCGTGCGACATTCCATGCCGATCAGTTTTTTCACGTATGCCGTCGCGATGGCGTTTCCATCGTGCGTCGACGTTCCGCGCCCGAGTTCGTCAAGGAAGAGCACAGAATTGCGTGTCGCGTGTCGCAATATTGAGGACGCCTCTGATAATTCAACGAAAAATGTCGACTGTCCTTTTAAGATATCGTCATATGCGCCAAAACGTGTGAAAATGCGATCCACCAGTGTGAAAGTGCAACTCGCTGCCGGAATGGGACAGCCCTGAAAAGACAGTATATAACGCGATATCAACCTTCTCTTTTATTATGCGCAGACTTGAAAAAGGGGAATGTTAAAAGTCAACATGACATGACCTTAAACGGCCATTTAAGAACTCTCAAAGAAGCCATGGAGGAAATTTAGCTGTGAAAAAAGAACTGAAGAAAAAAAAGCTCTAAGCCACTTACCATTTGCGCCATTATAATTATTAAAGCGACCTGCCGCATCAGCGTGGATTTGCCACCCATATTCGGACCGGTTAGAAGCATAATTTTCGCCTTACCCTCGATGCCCAATTGAGTGCTGTTTGGAACAAAATCCTCCAGTTGAATGTTCGGATGGACGCCGTCCTTAATGTCAATGAAACCTCGCTCTTGGAACGGTAAGACGTTGGGGAAACATGTCGTTCTCGAAACGTTTTTGCCATACTCGGCGAGGCCACATAGAACGTCGAGCATCATCAGGCAATGGATGACCTGTTCCCATTTAACACGGCTGAAAGGTGTGGTAGGGAGATTACAAAATGAGAGCGGATGCGTACCTGTCGCTGAATTTCTCGAAAATTCGCCTGTTTAAGTCTTGTACGATTTTGTTCCTTTTAGTTTCGGCACGTATCATATCGACTAAGATGCCCTGAAGTTTGTTCATTTAAATATAAATACTTAAAACAAAAGTGAACAACCTTAGAAGTTGCAGTAGAATAACGTTTGAAGCCTTTCCGCGCGCCTTCCAATTGAAATTCATTGGTGACCTTATGCGTCCTGTTTTCTGGTATTTCAATTTGAAAACGTTTGTTATCTTTACCCACGTAGGATACCTAAAAGACGCAAAGAGTTGAGAAGAAATAGTACAAGATCGACAAATTAACCTCGCAACGGAACATTTGTTTGAGGTCCTCCAGATAATCAGACGACCGACTCGATATGTCGGCAATTTCTTGTTCGACCCCGTCGTAATCCTCCTCTATGCCTTTTTGGGGAATAATTTTACCTTGATTTACCGCGACGTTTTGATCGAACGCTTCCTGAAGGCAGAAGTTTAACATTGCGTAACACTCAAAGATGTGAAATACCCTGAAATACTGCAGCAGGCCAGTTACATCCACAAGCTTGCCTTCGGGCGGATGGTGCGTTAACTTCTTGATTAGCGGCTGCGTGCATCCTGTAATACAGTTTTGTATTGGCGCTCGCGCGATTTTCAGTGGTGGTTACCTTCGAAGAGACCCATAATCTCCTGGGCTTTCTCAAAACCTTGTATGGTGTTGATTAAATCCAAAATTTTGCGCTTTGAATAAGTATTGTTTTCGTACAAGATGGCGCGGCTATCGGGGTGATTAGTTAAGAATCGGTTTCCGAATGTATGAATTCTAAAATGGTAGCGCGATTTAAAAAGTGAACATTTTACAATGTACGCCCTGTATAAACAGCATGCAGTTTGAAAAAAGGGCATACTTAGAAACGAGACGTTCCAAATCGGGAAGCTTTCTGAAGATGGCGCGTACTGCCTGGCGAACTTCGTCATTTTCGCACAACTGGTGGATCGCGTTTTGTCGTTCTTGTATTTTGTGTTCTTGACATAACGGACGACAAATCCACTGCTGCAGAAGTCTACCCAAAAATATTCAGTTAGAATCAACTGCGCTGTTTAACTAAACATTATTTTGAGATGTTGATTATTTGCGTCCTGAATAGTAGGGAAAAAGCGGAGCGATCGCTAGACAAAAAACCAAATCGAAACACACAAACAAAAAGCTAAACTTACAAAAAACATAGCCGATTAAGAAAAAAGAGAAAAATCTACGGTAATATAAAGAAGGTGCAGGAGAAAAGGTTGGGAGTATTTGTGGCTTCACAGTATCGCGTCTACATGTCCAAACCGTGCATTGTGAATAGTAATTTTAAAAGCGTTTATTGAATTGGATAGAGAATAATTCGATTTCGCCATTGAATATACCTATCCAGAAGGTGCCCTTAAAAAATAATTAGAAATACCGATTTTTGCCGTCGCCTCTAATTTCCGCATGTCTATTCCTATAAATTAAATCTTCCAGAGTATCTTTTCCATTGTGACATTATCACTATCATCCTTCTTTACAATAATAATAATTAAGTAGATAGGCGCCACCTATGCCAGGCAGTCCTGTGATACATAGATAGGTGGTTTAATACGTCGGCCAGCATTCGCGCCAGGCGGGGGGGGGGGGGGCTCAAGCGTGGTCTAAACTCATTAAAGGTCATCGTGGATGTTGTCTACTCTGCAGGTCTGTTTAAAAAAACGGACCTGTTAAAAAACAGGTCTGTTTTACAGAATCCGATCGGTTAAATAAAAACAGGTCTGTTTCTAATGATTCTTTTTTATGAACAGAACCTATTTCTGCGTGAAAAGACATGTTTCTGATGAACAGACCTGTTTTTTAACAGGCCAGTATAGACGACAACCACGATGACCTTCAGTGAGTTTAGACCACGATTGAATCTCACGCCTTGCGCGTCATGTGACTGTCTCGCATAGGTGGCCCTCTATCTACTTAATTAATTAATTAATAGATACCAAAAAATGTCGCATAAATTTAATGAACGTATATAAAGTGCGCGCGCGTGGTCGCGGTGTAAGTCGGTGGTTAAGCAATCTGCGCCAATGGGACGCACGCTTTATGTATGCCTATAGTACAAGATCCCATAAGGCCAACCTTTGCTCATCTATTTACCGAGTGAAATACATTATTTGGCAATCTTAATATGTAAACAAACACATTGGAAATGGGTTGTCTAAAAAAATTAAGGCAAGACTACCCTTGATTAACTTCATGTAATTAATATTTCTGTCTGCTTCTGTCACATGGAGAGAGCGCACGCGCACTCTCTCACATCGAGGCGTACACTACGATCAGCTCTTATGCTGCGTCCTTGTCTTTCACCTGGAACAATACACGTTTCTCTCTTGTGCGCTACTTAGTACTTAGAATTGTGACAACCGAATTGGTTCGTGTGAAAGAAGGACATATCGATGTACGAGAGTGCACATGCGCTCTCTACATGTGATAAAAGCAGATAGAAATATTAATTACTGTGGTCACCGCCACGTGGCACACCACTTTTAACTACTTTCCAAGGTCATCACCAGGTGACCTTGAAATGGTCCAGGTTCGGCCCTATACAACTACTGAACAGGATACATTTTATTTACAGACAGGCCGTCGATATGTTCTCAGTCACGTTAAGCATTTAACTTAAGACTAGTTTGCAGATTAGCAGACGCGCATCCTACAGCTCATAACAAAATAATTCCACTCTAAGTACTTTTCAGGTACACATTTTCTATCCGCAACGATTAGTTGCTTACCTTTTCCCAAAGCTAGTTTCACAATAATCCAGAGTCTTCTGCAGCGTGCCTTTCTCACCTAACAAGTTCAGATTTTCGATTGTTATAAAGTCCAAAATCATAAAGGCTTGCCGATCAAGTGCCTTATCGCTTGTTTGATCGGCCGGTTTATAAATATGGAACTTCTTCATAGATAAAACTTTAATATCTAACTCCGAGTCTTTCAAATACCACACGCAGGCCCCTAACGCTTTAAGAGCCAGCTCGCAACCCAGCTTCGGTAGATGTCCGTCGACGAATTCGGCGAGAACCGTCGGCCATTCGAAGTCATTGTTTTTGTCACGAAAATAGCATTCCTTCATCAAGAGATCTATGGTCTTTTCTGGAGAGAGAAACTGTGTGCCTGAGGTTAGTACGTCTCGTTTGACACTGCTGATGGTTTTTTTCAATACTTCGAGTGTTGACCATTGAAAACCACGGCGTTCGAGTAATATCTGTAACACCATGTAAGCGAAACAAACTGCTTAACAGTGAGGGAGAAACCACAAATGAACAAGTGGTTTCCCTCTTGGCTGGCAGGTACGTACCAAAGCAGGCCGATACTGTGCGAATATTCTTAAGAGACGTGAGCAATGTTTGTCGTCTTCAAATTGTCCTAAGAAAATGTCCCCCACTGATGTGTCGACAAAGCAAACGCCGAAGGCACTCCCTCCGTTTATCGGCTGCAAAAGAATGCTAAGACTATGAATGACACTCACTTTCAGCAAACCTTCTCCGCAATCGCCAAGAGGTAGCAGGACAGCGACTGCTTCGCATCAGTCATCTGTGCCCCGTACAAACACGTCGCCTGGGTGGTTATTTCACAAATTTCACGCCGAACAACCCGATCGTATTTCGTCACCTTGTGCCCTCTGCACCGATCATTCATCATCTCCGGTGTTTCAGTCTGCTCGACTCTTGCCACCTTAAAACCTTGCTCGATCAGCGTGCTCGCCATACGTCCGTAGGCCACCTCAGGAAAACCGGAATGTGCAAACTCGCCACCCTAGTGAAACAACACTTGTAATGAAAGTGTCACGGTACAGTTAAAGCGACTCACCTTGACGAAAGAGAAGTTGAGATAATTAACGCCGATCACTGCATCCATGTGATAGAACTCATAGAATTTGCCGATTTTAAAAAATAGAACGGTATCATAATGTTTACTTTTTAAAATCCACCATTGACGCATTGCCGGCGTTTGTTTATTAAGGAACTCTTGGGGCACGTAAAGGGTTTTCTCATCGTAATCAGGATGATCGGACCGATTACCGTTGATGTCACGTATTTTGTCCGGTTTCAAAAATTCGAGACGTTCGTGAAACCACTGCGTGTCCGATGCGAGACTGTTGACATTGTCATCTCGCGACAGCGACCTGTTTGACTTTTCAAACGTGAACAACTGAAGACTGCCTTCCTCCTTTGCAATTTTAGGCTTCTTCTTTGTCTTTACTTCGGGAACCGAAGTTTCTGTGTCGGAATCGCTATCGAAAAGAGCGGTACGATTTCTTTTCCTCGCCAGAACCGGCGTATCATCTTCGTTGTCTGTATAATACGAAATGAATGGATAGCGGTTTCCAATTTCTACTTACCACTACCAGAACCCATTAGGTTAGACTCCTTTGTAGAGTTTCCATTCTGTTTTTTAGCAGATGATTTATTGCCAGGAGACTGGAAATAGTTAAAAAGGGTGTTCGACTGCCCTAGACTCGAACGTTTCGACATCTTTCTAAATTATTAATCGAAAAACGTCGTTTAACAAATAGTGCTTAAGAAAAATTTTAGCGGGCATTTACAATTGCATGAAGTTGGCTGTAATAAACCACAAAAAGTCACAGGAGAATCAACGTATGCTAGTGACAAATTAAAATAACATTTTGACTTTATATACAGGGTAATACAAGTAGGATGTATGCACGGATCTTTAAAAAAAAAAATAGGTCCGTGGATGTATGACATCTGTATTGCAAGATTGTAACAATAAATTTCTCATTTATAACGTCAGTTTAGTTTAACTAACAGATTTGAGAAACACGATTGATCAATTTTTGAAATATTAGCTAATCAAATACTGTTACTATATAATCTGAAATGTAAGCTAACATTGTACAACTGAGCCTCAGCATGCAATTTATTCGGAGAGTAAAGTTATTGAGGCTACCAGGCTTTAATGGTTTTGCCTCATATAAAAAGTAATATCTGTCTTAGGCCAATTACCAAAATCATGTTAATAAGCTATGACTGGTACATAAGACAAAAAGTAGTTTCAAACGTAATTCAAGTCAAAGTCGATATCAGTTTGACAATAATTTTTTTGTTAAGTGTACTGCACAGAGGAAATAGTAGTTATAATAAACGTTTTTCGTGGAAATAGTATGCGATATTTGTTTTGCGAGCATTTTAAAGTCTTTTGTTAAAACCTTTTTTAATTCTTTAGAATATTTCCATGGTCAACATGATTTTGCTACACGGATTTTTTGCCGAATTTTTGATAAAATAATGAGAAATTGATTGGCCTTATGTGGGATCTTAAGACTATTAAAAATGGTTGGTTGGTATAAGGTAAATGAGGGAATTGATTTTATTATAAAGTTGGAGGGAATGGAGTTTGTTTAAAATTTAGCAAATTTAATAACTTTTTTTGGGGTACATTATAATCGTCGATAATAAATAAAATCAAAGAAACGCCGTAAGTTGAAACTGTTTTTAAATTTGACAGTTTACAATGTATAAGTAAAACCTGGAAATACAATATCATATCGGATGTGATGCACAAATGTCGTATATAACTACGACATAAATTAAATAATCGTACCATATAAATGCTAGATTAACTTAAGAACACGAAAAATGTTTTAAATCTTACAATTTTTCTATTCTAATACAGATAGGTAGTAATAATGTCCACAGAGAAGGTTACAAGGATATTTCTTCAATTACTGGCAAAAATATAAAATCGTTAAGTACCCAGCCTGTAGTATCGCTACCTAAAAACATAAAACGAGGCAGTTGTATCACGGGAATGTATAGTAAAGCAATTATCTAAAAACAAAATTGCGAAAAGTATAAATAAAGTCATTCTCTGCTCTTAACGAAATAAATAATAAAATAATACTGCATTAACGTTGTCTTCTAAGAACTTGGCAAGTTAACCACGATGGCAAATTACAAGAGTTGTACTTATATACATTATTAGTACATGTGGTGTGTGCTTTAAATTGACACTATACAAGTAGGACGGTAGGTAATTCCTTCCTTTACACGACAATTTTGAAACCCAATGGCTGCAGATTCCCAAAAAAATTCATTTACAACAACATCGAATATAAAAAAAGTAATGGAGTCAATTATATCTACTATATACAATACAAATGTACACTGTCTACGTGTTGTTTCTTTAATCGTACACACACTAATGAAAATTAAGCCAAGTACCGCACAAAGATCCTTAAAATATTTGTACATAAATAATCGAGGCAGTAAACGACCTTTGTGCGGTAAGTCAATCGCGTCAGATTCAGGTATCGCTATAGTGATTTAGTTCGTTGTTTTGACGCTTGGATTTCTTAGGCTGCTCGTCCTGCAAGTGTCTAAATCTAACAAAACCCTGGTCATCGACGAGCATTGTGTCTGAGATCGGGTGGCGCGCCTCGTTACCGCCCGGCAAAGTTTGCACGCCGATGTGAGGACGCGCGTGGTTTTTCCTCGCGCGGCCCGTCGATCGCCGACCGGAAGTGTTTGAGTTTTTCGATCGGCGTTCGAAGTCGTTTCGTTCAAAATCATTACGCGCATATTGGTTATCGACCGGTTCGCTATAGACGTTACCCTCGGACTGGTAATCGTCATTGTTGTACTCCTCGTACTTCGGTTTCGCGTAGTACTTGGCGACGTCGTAAGTTTTCCGCGCTGAACTTCGCTCGTTTCGCAGAGAGTTCTGCCCGCGCTCGAAGTGTCCCGAGTTCGGTTGTCCGAAACTGTTCAAGCTGGTCTGCTCGACGCTCGGACGCACGCGATCTACTTCGAAACGCTCCGATCCCCACTTCGGCCTCTCGAATCGATCAAACTTGCCGCTCTCGTTATCGCCCCCGCGGTAACGCTCCAGCGTCGATTTTTTATCGAACGAGTCGTTCTGAAAGGTATTTTTGAGAAGATTGGGCCTTTCGATCGTTTCGCTCGGGCCGTGGTCCATTATCATTTCGTTTCTACTGTAATTCAACGCGTTCGGATTCGTGGTGCAGTTGTTCGGAAAAATATTGTCGGTGCTCGAATCACTCGTCGTACAAGGGAAGAGCGGAAAGCCGACGGTCTGCTTCTCGCGCTGTGACATTTTTAAGCTTACGACGACGGCTAAAAGAGTGATTATGCATATCTCCAAAACCCGCACCGACAACTCGAAGCCCCACAAGATCCAATGCTGTTTGATGTCCGAGCTAAAGTGATCGACCTTTATGAAGAAAAGCGCGTAAAGATGCACGAAGCCGAGCAAAATAAACAGCAACGCGACCGCGATTGTAATATGCGACGCGTAGCTGATATTTTGGGTGCACATCTCCGATAAGTTCTGCGTCTTTTTCGCGAGCACATTTTTAATTATTTTGTACAGGTAGAGATAGCTAAAGCCGAGCGCCCACGTTAGCAGTACAAAAACGGGTTTGCAAACTATTAGGCTGGCACGATCAAAATGGCCCATGATCTCGACGATACTCAAACAAAAGCACATGAAGATGTGCATTGCGGCGAACACAACGAGAAATACTGGGCGCGTCTTCACTTTTAGATGATTTAAGGTGCGCTTCAGCAGAAACAGAATTAATATCGCAAAGGTCGTCGCCAACAAGCTCAACGGGAAGTTGTGCAAAAACTCGTAGAGAAAAATATTGAAGGACTTGCCGACATTGTACGGATCGTAAGTCAGGTAGAAGATTCTCAAGACGCATATCACGGTCAGCATCAGGTGAACCGTGAGGAAGTAGCTTTTCGAGAACATGTGCGGATCATTCTCGTACCTAATCAGTTTGAAGATGGAGAAAACCGCGAGCAGTACGTACAGAAACACGACCAAGTAGACGTGAACGTTCCAGCAAACCAGCCACACCTTATCCGAGTCGACCTTTGTCACGTTGTTCTCCTTCGCCTTCACGTTTGGCAGATTTATGACGTCCGAGTTTTCGGTCGTTGTCTCGTCCTTTACTATCTCCTTGCGGCTGGTGACCCCTTCGGGTTTGTCTGGCGGACGGCTCTCCTGAGAGACTGCCGTGTCTCGCTTGTTATCGTCGACCTTTGTACTCTCCTCGAATTCCTCGCGCCGAAAATCCTGCATCTTTGTGTTGCCGCGCACGTTTTCCGTGACGGGTGCGCGCGGCTTGTTCCGCTGCTCGTTCCTGTGGTGAATTAAGGAGGTGTCGGTGACCGTTTTGAGTAGTATCTCAGGAATCTCGTCGTGCCTCCCGTTCGAGCCGCTCAAAATCCTAGTGATACTCGGTATGTACGCCTTCTCGTATTCGAAGTTTGTCTCGTTGACGTTACGATTTAGGCCGTAGAACTCGCTGTTTTGCGACGGCGTGTTTAGAGTTTTCTTACGTTCACTACGCGAGTCGTTCTGAGATTCGTACGTTTTCGTCTCGGTCTTCTCGACGTTGATGGGCTTTCGAGGTGACAAGTCGGGTCGATACGGTATTTGATCCTTGTTGGGAGTGAGCGACGGAGGTGGAATTGGCCGTCGGTTGACGAAAGTGTCAGAGTTCGTACCTCGCAGTGTCGGTTTATCCGCAAACGGATGTAGAAATTTGTCCGGGAGGGTCGGCGTGAAAAACGCCCTACTCGGCGGTACGTAGCTGGGGATGTCCTTACTGTATATCGACTTTGTAGGACGCACATTTCGAAGAACGTTGTAATTTGTGGTCGTCTTGTAAACATTTTCTGTGACCTGAAAAAATGATCAGAAATTGCAAACATGTCCTGTACAAAAAAATTGTACAAAACTACCAAAATCTCAAAAAACAAAAAAAAGCTATAATTGCAAAATCTAGATATCATAATTTGTTTTGAAGTGATTAAAAACAAAAGCTTGAATTTGTTGAAATAACAAATGAACTGTTTTCTGCCGTCACCAAAGTTTCCAGTTTTTTGTTGTAAATTAATTTATGGATTTAAGCACAGGCCATATCTATGGAACCGTTAATTACACAAAAAATGGTACGGAGAGCTAAAATCGGTTCAAAGTAGAAAACGAGGTAGTGAAGGTACTTGGAATGGTGCTATAGAGGACAAATCCTTGTACTCCCTGTGGCTTGCAACTAAGCATACCGAAGCAGCAAACAAAACTCCTTCTCCCATTCGCACAATTAAAAATCGCTTGGACATATGGAAGAAACGAGATCGCGAGCAAGAAGAGCAGGTAGTTTGTAAAGAAGCAGTTGTGGGCCATCAAAAAACAGTGCATTGTTGGAGTTCCAGCGCCACTTAAATCAACACAAGAAAATTGGGACATACATATCTCAAAAACGGAAGTTATGAGTATTATCTGCTATTCTCGAGTAATCTTTAGTATTATCGTATTACAGCCAAAATAATACCATTATTGTATTATCGTGTACAAAATTTGAGCTTGAACCCACCCATCGTGTGTACCATTTTACACTGCCGACATTTTGTTTCAGTGTGCCGCTGGCAGATGGTAAAATAAGAAATTAATTTTCTGGTTTGTTTAGGAACTTTCTCGGTCTCATGTAATTTTTTCGTATCTACGACCGTTATCGAAGAAAAAAAAACCAATTTTTGGTAGTTGGCTAAATTGAAGTAAAAAATTTAAAAACGGTCCAGTAGGCTCTGGATTTATGTGGATAACCTCTTGTTTTTATTAGTTTTGACAGTTCGCATTTGAAATTGTATCTTGTGGTTGCATATGCAATCATAGGCAATCGTGAAATTATAAAACCCCTACTGAAAATCGTATGCAATTTTTCGTGTCATGTTTTTAGCAGCTCCAGTTGATGAGCGACTACAACTTGAAATTGAAAGTCTCACTAACTCAAATTTCCCGATAAGACTCCAAGTTCTCAAAAACTGGGATTTTTACAATCTCAGACGTTCAGGTAAACAAATTGTTTGAATTTTTAGCTTAGAATGTGCAATTATTATTCATTTTTCAATCTTAAAATTAGAATTGCAATTGAAACACATAAAATTTCGAAAATTTGAAAGATTGAGCAGAATTTCAAATGTAATTTACTTACTTCCTGATGGGGTCCCCCCAAATTGTAATCGGGCCGCAGTCGATCATTGTTGTAGCGATTCGGATTATTGTAATTTCTATTGTTGTTATTTTTAAGGATGTCGGCGGCAGGAGCAGACGTCGGTAGTCCGTGATCTCTCTCCAAATCTGAACCGTACGCTGGATTACTGCGCGCCTCCTCATCATAATCGACCGATTCTCCTTCGGAATTCTTGATATCGACCCGTAACCATTCGTCGCTGCCATCACTATATCTGTACGTCGTTAGCAAGGGCGTTGCTAACGTCGTAATCAAGTAGCTATTATCTGGTATTGAACGTTTAGTCGTGCTCCCGTAGGCAACTTTGTTAAAAACGGCCGCGATGCTCTGCTCCAGATTGATTTTATCGATCAACTTATCGCTTTTGTCGTATTCGTTTGGATACGCCCACGCCGCAGCCGGGCAATAAACGAGACAACCCATAATGAATAATTTACGATTACTTAGGCATATCCGCAGAAAAACTAGCAAATATAGGCACATTCGAGTTAACAAATACATAAACAATCTTATAATTAGCCTTAAACGCGAAGTTCTAGGTCGCTCGCACAAATCACAGATTAATAAACTGCCTACACTAAAACGATCGCTAAAAAAATTATCGTCGGCACCACTTTTGCTGCACCTCCGAGCTGCCGCATCATCCTCGTTGAATATCTTCACACATTTTACTAGTTCGCCCGTATCACTTTCGAACGGAACACACATTTTATTTATGAGACATTGCGTCAACAACTGCAGATTAGAACGAGCCCAAGAACGCGACTTACCCAAACAAAATCGGAATGTAAAAACAGTCTTGTCTTGAAGGAATCTGCAAAGATAAGCATTGATTAGAATTGAAAAAAAGTAATGGGAAAAAAATCAAAAATATGGACCACACTGAATAGTGAATACATTGTAACGTATACGCCCAACAATTTAGTGGCCTACTTACAATTTAACGCTTTGGCATAATAACTCGAAGAATTAGGGTGGATTACTTACGTAAAATAATAATAAATATCACAAATTGTAGGAAATCGGTGTAAAAAGAAGAATCCAGCTGCCAAAAATGAAATCAAATCTGTTGACAACTCACGTCGTCAACACTACAGACAAAGAAATATTCACATTTTTTCGTCAAATTTTTCACGTAAAAATAATTTTTAAAACTCTAACTTTACTCGCGGCGCACTTCCGCCTTCCTGGACCGTTCATTTAAATCGAAACTGCGTCCCGCGGCGTATTTTTTAATAGAAAATTCCTCAAAAATACCCGACTACTTCGGTGACTTTCATTTGCACAGACGTGCGGCCATTTTAACACTCAAAGCCAACCTGCGTGAAGATAGCCGGAGAAAGTCGGTATACTCATTTCAAACTAGCGGAACTCAAAACGTTGTGCCGCTTTATAAAGATTGGAGCAGTGTCGCCAACTTTGGCGCGACAGCGTCACCAGGATAATTCAAAAAAATGGTGGGAGAGTTTTTTCAGGGCCCAATTTGGAAAAATCCCAAATTTGCATGAATTTCGCAATTGAATTTTTCAAGGCGCACCTTTGAAAATACGAAACAATTGTGCTAGTTTTATTGGACACCTGCCATATCATGTGAGTGAATGTCAATTGTCATGTGTCAGTGGCGGAGACGTGATCACTTCGTGCTCATACGGCGTAGCGTTCTTTTGCAGACTAGGCCCTAATCGGAAGGTAAGTCCTACAATTTTTCACGTATTTAACAGCCTAATCTTTCCAATTTCGCTAGCGACTATTTTCGAAACTTAAACTAAGTCGAATGGTAATTTCGTGGAGAGATTTGGCCGTTCAAAATGGCATTATGTAATTTTGTAAGGTTATGACGTAGATATTAAATCGATCAAGTCAAGTTTTGACCCATTATGTAACAGTAATCCCATTACAGTACGCAAGATGTTCCAGTCAATGTTACAAAGGGTGATGTGTCAAACACCGGAGGACACCAAACCGTTCGTCCCCCAACAAGGCCTAGTCAAGTCTCTGGTAGCGGGTCGTACAATAGCCGCAGCGGCTGCCGCCGGTCCTCCTAATCCGGGCGAAAGTTGCGAGTTTGGATCATTTAAGTACTTCGGTCTCTGTGGTTTAGGAGGTAAAAACCGACAACGTACAAGTAGGAAATTACTAATGGGAAATTCGCAGGTATTTTAGCATGTGGTACGACACACACATTTGTGGTACCTCTTGATTTAGTAAAATGCCGTATCCAAGTTGATCCAATCAAATACAAAAGTTTATTCAGCGGTTTGGCAGTTACACTACGCGAGGACGGCGCCAAAGGTCTGGCCAAAGGATGGGCGCCGACGTTTATCGGTTACTCCCTTCAGGGATTCTTCAAATTTGGCTTCTACGAAGTCTTCAAGGTCTTCTATACGGATCTTCTGGGTGAGGAAAACGCCTACCTCTACAGAACGTGGCTTTATTTATCTGCGAGCGCAAGCGCCGAATTCTTCGCCGATATCGCACTGTCTCCATTAGAATCGGTCAAAGTAAAGATCCAAACTACGCCCGGTTTTGCAAACACAATGCGTGAGGCGTGGCCTAAGATTATGGGTGAGGAGGGTATGAACGGATTTTACAAGAGTTTGGTTCCGTTATGGCTACGACAGATTCCGTACACAATGATGAAGTTCGCCTGCTTTGAAAAGACCGTAGAGCTATTGTACAAAAATGTCGTGCCGAAACCTAGATCCGAGTGTACAAAGGCCGAGCAGCTGGTGGTGACGTTCGCCGCCGGTTATATTGCCGGTGTGTTTTGTGCCATTGTCAGTCACCCTGCCGATACTGTCGTCTCAAAATTGAACCAAAAGAAGGGGGTGCCCATCTCGCAGATCGTTAACGAAATTGGATTTATGGGAATGTGGAAGGGATTGGCCACAAGAATTGTGATGATCGGTACACTGACTGCACTACAGTGGTTCATTTACGATGCATTTAAGGTATTCCTAACTTAACTCGGGCGCCGCTCAGTTTTTTACATTTTTTGCTGTAGGTCGCCACACGTATGCCACGTCCACCTCCGGCAGAAATGCCAGAATCGCTGAAGAAGAAGTTACAGGCGCAAGGAAAACTATAAACTCTTTCCACGAATGTAGTGAAATTATTACAGTATTTGCTTTAGGAGCAATTAATTATTATGTTTCTCTTAATGTGTCTACCATTGCGTTGTACAGAAGTTTCGTCTTAAATTAAACTGTTTTAATTAATAAATAGTTATTTTTATCAAAAATCTGTACTGAGTACTTGCGGTAACAATAGTGGCTGGTGCTTTCCGGTTATGGCAAAGCTAAACTCTACAGTCCTTAAACATTTCTACGTTGCTAAAGATTCTAATACGAGTTATTAGATCACCTCTAGTACTTCAATTTGTAGTTTATGTATACGCACAACCAAAACAAGTTGATCATATAAGACTAAAAGCTCCCAAGCCCTTAAAATTATAGATCAAAGATTATGGTATTTTGAATAATATACAGGCCGTTCCACCCAAGTTCTTGGCCCCCAATTTTACAATCCTTTAACAAAAGCAGTGAAATTTATGGATATTTCTAATTTCAAATATTGCTCTTCAATAAATTATATATATTGTATTTCAGATAAGATTGCTAAAAGCTACATTTAAGGGTAATTCGAGATTTTGTTATTCGATTACATTTACGTGGGATTTTAATACTTGTAACACATCAAAATTGTTTATCACTTTAGTCTGAATGTTTCATACAGAGGAGGTAAACTAAATCGCTTTCAATAAACCCCACATTTGATTACACTTCTCGTTGTCGTGCGTACGTTTGTGGGCGAAATAGTAATGCTCCATCACAAACTGCTTCTGACAGATCTCACATGTAAAGCTGTTCTGTTTCGAGTGTATCTTCTTATGCTTGAGCAGGTTGTCGTTGCGCGAGAAGCTTTTCTCACAGATCGTGCACGTGTAATTTTTCTGTCCACTGTGTGCGACCATATGTCGTAGTAGGTGCTCTTTCCGCAAGAAAGATTTGTTACAGTTCTCGCACACAAACGGTCTAAAACCGGTGTGCAGCTTCATGTGTTGGTAAAGATGCTCGCGCCGCTTGAACATCTTGCCGCAGATGTCACACGAGTGACGTTTCACCTCAGCCGACATTAAAAACTCTGAATTAGTGTTGATCAGCTCTGTACTGGCTTGCTTTGAACTACCTGTGTAGGCATATAGGTCACCGGGCGGCGGCTCCGGATTGATATTTGGGACGTTTTCCGCCGCCGAATTGAAATGTATTGCATCCGAGTAACTGGAAAGCTTCTGTGCGCTATGTACGTGAGTGACTGGTGTTGATTGCAACACCAGCGGTTTCGGTGGAAAATTTAGTTTCGGATCGGCTGTCAAATCAATTATTGGAATGTCAGTCTTTTCGGGCATCTTTGGCCGCTTAGTTAACTTACAAATCTTCTGACCCAGCGTTTGCTTGACTAAAGCGTTAACATCGACACACGGAGCGATTGTGACAATTTCGCCGTTCGAATTAATTGTAACATTGCCGACATGATCATTATTATCCTTTGGTAAATTGGATACGGCGGTTTTAACGGTGTTCAGATTGTAAATTATTTGTGGCTGTGTCAGTTTAGCTTCTTTGGGTGGAATCTTTGGTTCTGGTGGCTGGGAAACAACCGTAGGTAAATGCAGCGTGTAATACGGTACCGTGTCCTGCGTAACACAGCTGCCTAAATTAGTATTTGGTATCACGCTTATATTATAATTTGTCCCGACTGTGTTGCAAGCTGCAGTTTGGGATGCGCTTACTTTCGAGCTTGTGTCTTTGATATACACCTAAAGAAACAAGATATATACACGAAAGTCGACTCATTAGAGTACCTTTCCTGACTTTTTAAAGTCATCGGTGTACCTAAAATTATTGAAGTAGCTAGAAAGCATTGTCTCCGAACTGTAGCATTCTTTACGAAAGAGACAACACTCCTCCAGCGAACGTAAGCATTGAGAACACACCACTTTGGGCAGGAAGTCATTTTCGCACACCTTAAACATGAAAAGTGTTTGGCAGCAGTTCACGAATTTCGCGCAAATACCTTCAGAGACAGGCAACTTTGGATCTTGTTTTGAAGCTGAATTTTCCTACCCTCCTCTTGAAATATGTGGGTCTTATCCTTCTGCTGATTAGTTGCGCACAAACGACACAATTCGTAAAAATTAACTCGTTTATATCCGGACATTTTAGATTAATTTAAATAAATAATAAAAGTTGCCATAATATTGTTTGTTGATAGTTGTCAAATATTACAGGTTGCGACTTTACCATATTTCGTTCGACGAATGTTCGAATTTTGATTCATTCGTCGAATTTGAAGATATTTTTAATTAAATTGTGCGTGGTGTCACATAATCTTTAAATCTATGCATGTGCCTTTCGTCACATTGTTAAATTATTAAACAATTCGTCTGCATCAGAAATAAGAATTTACACCGCACTGAGTGCCAAAAAATTCTTAATACTCTGTATATTCGAATCCATGAGTACAGTTTCATCGCAGTGTAGACACAAATAGACTGTGGTTTCATCGAATACTTGGCGTGGTGCTCAAATGACAGAATTTGAGGTTAATAATGTTATTAACTTTTGTTTGTTATTTAATAATTAAATTATAATTTATTATAAGAAATGGAGGCGAATTCGTTAACGGAAGTGACGACTTTGATACGAGAATGGGAAGACACCGAAAATCAACCAGGCTATAACCCGGTACCGACACTTTTAAAGCTAGCCGAAAAGATCGAACAAGAAACGGAGAACTACTCAAAAATGGATCCAGACCCTTTTGACGAACGTCACCCTTCTCGCACCGATCCAGAATGCAAACTCGGGCAAATCCTAAAAGCATTGTTTCGCAAAGACAACTTCATGACTCGTCTAGTGAACGACTATTTACGCGACACTTACTACAGCCGTTTGGGTATAACAAATAGAAACGTAGATGAATTGAACATCGCCGCGTGCCGACTTATGCTGGACATTATGCCCGGTCTAGAAACTTCGGTAGTGTTCCAACCCGACATGGACAGCTTGATCCAACGTCTCATCAAGTGGTCAACAAACTCCATTGAGCCTCTGCAAAGCTATGCGACCGGTTTGCTCGCTGCCGCGATGGAAATACCGGAAATAGCGACGAGATATCGTGAACAGAACGGTCGACTTGTCCCGCTGATGATTCAACGTCTTCGTTCGTTCCAAACTGCTGAGCCCCATGTGGGAATCGCACGTCCTTTTGCGCATCTATCTTCGATGAAATCTCCCCCCTATGTGCATGATTTTGGCAAACAGTTCAAAACACCACCAAATGGTATGTATTGTTACCCGATAATTAGTCAAACAATTATTTGTGAAGATCAAAAAGACTATTTACTATAGTGGAATTCACATTCTGATGGCAATGCACCGGTATAGGATAACAGCATTGCCATTGTAGGTTTTGCTAATTATAGTCTATTGCACAAATAATTTAAAACATTCGGGGCCACTTTGACATCGATATGACACAAACATTTGTAATAGACTTTGGGAACTGTACATACTCTCACATAGAAAAGCATTGCGATATCTCAGTAACACTGTCATCTGAATGTGAATTGCACTATACTTTACAAATTTGTACGGTACCGATGTATCCGTGGAGGATCTTAATTTTTGACAAAAATTTCGGAAAAGTGCAGAACTTACGCAGTTTGAGATACTTAAGGATTTTTCTACAAATTTTGAAAAAAAGAAAGATTTGAAATTGCCATGTAAGGGGAAAATAATTTTGCCAATGTGCAATAGGTGGCGTATGCGTTCACTTTTAAAATCACTATACAGCATGGCAAGTTGACGGCGGGATATAGGGAAATAACATGGGAAAATACATTTTCGGGAGTTCCTGCTCCCCATTTCATCCTACAGGAACATTAGAAACATCCTCGGATAGATAATTAAAATATCCATCGGATAACGTATAAATACGCAACTGTGAGTCTCATACAAGCTAAAAATTAAATTAAAAATCCTAAAAATTGGTAAAAACTGGTTGGCCATGGAGTGACATGTCGCACTTACCTACTACCCACTACAAGAAATCGTTCCTTTGACTATCATCTCACTTCTACCACGAAAGGGTGAAATAATTACACTATAAACGATTGCCTATCCTTAAACTTAACTAATAAATCTAGAACTTCGCCGTGCACTATTCCCAGCATAAAATGATTTTACCATTTACAATAGAGACCTTTTCTTCTGTAGTGTAATTATTATTCATGTTGACATGTTTATTAGAGATCACAGTTAAATCAAAGAATTAGGTAACAAATGCGGTAGGTAGATCATGGCCAACCAATTTTTACCAACTTTTTGGATTTATTAATTTAGCTTTTATACTTTTCAAAAAGGGCTTAGGCACGCTTTTTTTGTGTGTATCTAATGTCGATTTTAATTATCTATCCGAGAGTGTTTTTTTTTAGGTTTAAATGGGGAGCAGGAATTGCCGAAAATGTATTTTCTTTATGTCTCGCTGTCAACTTGCCACGCTGTATAGAGACAGCGTGGCCATGTGAACCATAGTTTTTCCTAATTTATCATTGAGCTGATTGGTTTAACTGAATTGGTATATTTTGCTATTATCCTTTTTGCACTGCCTTCGCATCGTCAAAAGACGCTTGTGGAGGTCTGCTCCTATCACATTTAGAGCGCGCGTGCGCACTCTCTCACCACGAACCAGAACAGAAGGTACTTACGGTTGTCGCAATTTTAAGTGGTGTACTAGAGCGAAGCATGTGTATTGTTCTGTATATTATAGAGAAGGACACAGCATAACAGCTGCTCGTGATGTATCCATCGAGTGTAAGAGTGAGCTCTCACCACGCGATAGAAGCAGATAGAAATATGAATTAAATTAATTCATTTTTCTTCAGGTACAATCGAGTCGAGATGTCACGACGACGACGAGGAGCGAAGCAGTAAACGCGCAAGATTGGATTATAATCTCACGCCGCCGAGTACGAGCCCGTTGCGCTGTCCGAACAGCTTCGTACCGGAGAGTAGTAACTCGTCGTGGGCCGAGCTGGAGAGTTACATGATCGGCAATCTGCAACTGCATCCGCCGACGCTCGCGACGAAACGCATACTGATCCTGCGCTATTTAACGCCGATGGGGGAGTACCAGGAGTTCTTGGGACACGTGTTCGAGCACAACGTTCTCGAGCTTATTTTGAATTACGTGAACGTGAAGGAGACGAAGGAGGCGCGACTCGCCTTCGAAGCGCTCAAGTACTTGGCGGCGCTGCTGTGTCACAAGAAGTTCTCAATCGAATTTATACAGGGGAAGTACCTCGAATTTCTGCTGGACGTTCCGAGGCCGTCGATTGCCGCGACTGGAGTGTCAATTTGCTTGTACTACTTGGGGTATTGCGAGGAGGCGATGGAGCGCGTTTGTCTGCTGCCGAAATATGTCGTTTGTAACTTGGTGAAGTACGCGCTCTGGCTGTTGGAGTGTTCGCACGATTCGGGCCGATGTCACGCGACCATGTTTTTCGGGTTGACGTTCCAATTTCGAGTGATCCTGGACGAGTTTGACGATCAAGACGGTTTGCGAAAGTTACATAATGTCATTGCGACGTTGCCGATTTTGTGCAACGAGGAGAATGTGGCCGTATTGAATGAGGATGCGGAGTGCGCGGCGCGCCAGATAGTCAGACACGTCTGCGTTGCCTACCGTCGGTACTTAGAGGCGCATTTGTATATAAAGGTAGAGCACTTGAGGCGTTCGCAGATTCGGCCGAACGATCGAACGGCCGCGATCATCCCGGCGCAACCGAGTTACAAGGCGTGTAAGTCGTCGCCTGACGAAGTTCAACAACAGATAGAGACGCTGCTACAACTGATGCCCTTCCGTAGCCACTGGCAACCTGTCGATTATCTACACAAACTTGGGGGCATTACTTTGCTGTTGAAGATCATCGCCTTCGCGTACGAATGGAATTACAGTGGGCGGGCTGAGACGGTGCGTTGCGCGTTAGACGTGTTGGCTATCGCTTGCGTAATTCCAAAGGTGGTATTGCTCTTTTGCGAACGCGTAGACCTTCCCGATGATGCCATCATCACCGTAGGTATCAATATCATCTTGGGAGCGGCCGATGGGGAAATCGTTGCCGATCCCGATGTTCAAAAGGCAGCCTTGAGAGTGATCGTAAACTGCGTTTGTGCGCCAATTCACCGAGCGAGTGCGCCGATTTCGCGATACTCTGCGACCGGTACGATTTCGCCCAGCAAGAAGACCAAATTCAAGAGTTCCGAAGAGTTAATACAGAAAGTGTGGTCGACCGTACGCTCGAATAGCGGTATTATGGTGCTGCTACAGCTCATGAACGTTAAGACGCCCATTACGGACGCCGATTGCTTACGAACTCTCGCCTGTAAGGCTCTAGCCGGTTTAGCACGATCCGAAACCGTCCGCCAAATTGTCTCCAAACTTCCACTTCTAACCAGCGGCCAACTGCAGACGTTAATGCGCGACCCCATCCTGCAAGAGAAGCGCCAGGAGCACGTCTACTTTCAGAAGTACGCTCTGGAGCTCCTCGAAAGGCTGTCGGGCAAAACCAAACACTACGGTAACGAACTAGAAGTTTCGTTGGGCAATATTCACCGAGCCAACATAGTCGCCCAAACTAAGATACACTTCAACGACAAGCAACTTTTACAACTAATCCACCAGCACCTACTTGCACAAGGCTTAACGGAAACTGCCACGTCTTTGCAGAAGGAAGCGCGTCTGTCGAGCTCGGTGGCTACAAGCGTCAATCATCCACCAAACAAATTTCGTTACACGGCAACTACGCCTAATCGCTCCAGGCTTTCGTTATCGTCACCCGCTTATAGAATCACCACAAACACCTCCAGTACCGACAGTTCCGCCGTGAATCACAACGGTACCGGTAGCGCTATACGGATTAAAAAAAAATCGACACCTTCCTCCCCCCACGTGAATTTAATACCAAAACCTCGTCTACAGAAACAGTTATCGGCGGAGCCTCTATTAAAAGTCCTAAGTCAACCGAGCGAAGATTCCCTCGGTGCTGATCATCCACGAATCACTTTGGACTCGATCATTACGGAATACCTCACCAATCAGCACGCCTTGTGTAAAAATCCTATGGCGACGTGTCCACAATTTAATCTTTTTGTCCCGCACAAATGTCCCGATCCCAAACCAAAAATACAGACGGCCAGCAACTTCGCTTTGCGATCAGTCCGCCGTCAAGTTGGTTACCAATCGAAAGCGCTCGATCGTAAATTCATCCACAGTCGCTTCTGCCCGGTGCAGACCATACGACTTCCAAATGACGACGGCTTCTACACGTGCGTGCGCTTCCTCCCGGGCGACCAGAGCATCGTAGCGGGCGCCGACTCTGGCGACATTCGCATATTTAACATCCACACAGGGAACGAGGAGGCGTCCTTCTCGGCGCACGACAGTTACGTCCTCCACACGGAGCCGAGCCGCGACGGTCAATTGCTAATCAGCTGCTCCACCTGGGGCCGACCTCTCTCCGCTCTTTGGTCGATGAACGGTTACGAAATGAAGCACACGTTCGGAAACGAAGAGTACATGGAGTTCAGCAAGGCGATACAAGACAAACTGATCGCGACCAAAGGCGAGGCGGCGACAATCTACGACATAAACACGGGAACGGCCATCAAGAGCTTAGTGCCGACCGTCGGAAATCAATACACGCGAAACAAAGCAACCTTCAGCCCCTACGACGATCTGGTACTGTGCGATGGCGTAATCTTCGACGTTAATTCCGGGAAGCAAATACACAAACTCGACAAACTAAACCAGACACAAAGCGGCGTATTCCATCCGAACGGTTTGGAGATCGTCTCCAATACTGAAGTGTGGGATATTCGCACCTTTCAGTTGCTTAAAACCGTGCCGATACTGAACCATTCGCAAGTCATCTTCGCTCCGATCAACAACACGATTTACGCGATCTCGCTGGAGCAAGAGGAGGACGACGATCAGACATTCGAGACCAGCTTCAAAACTGTCGACGCAACCGACTATTCGAGCATCGCGACTTTCGACGTCAAGCGCAACGTGTACGATCTTGCGGTAAACCACTTCGATACCCAAATCGCGATCGTCGAAAATTTGGGCGTCTATCACGCGCCCCAGGAGTCGGTCGTGCGTATCTACGACGTCGGTCGCAAGCGGGACGACGAGGACGAACAGGAAGAGGAGGAGGAGGACGACGACGAGAACGATATGGACGGTTCCGACGAGGACGGGTCGGATAACGATACAATACCTTTGAGCACGTCCCAAAATGATAACAATGGTAACAATGAAGGTGAAGAGGACGAGGATAATGAGAGCGATGGTAGTTGGACGGACGCTTTGGAAGATGAGTCCGATGATTCGCATGGAAGCTACTCATCCGGTTTAAGTGCCATTGAAGATCTACTTTTTGATTATTAATTGTAAATTAATTTCTATTGTAATGTTGTGTATAATATTTCTTATTATTTATAATCATGAAATACAGTAGTTGTAAACTGGCAAGTAATTTCTACTATTGCATTTCCCCTATGCTGAAAAAACTCATACGTAGCTTACAGTAACTAGGCGACGAGCAGACAAGCGGGTTTGTGCTATGGCCACAGTAGTATACTAGTAAACGGGCATGGTAAGAGACATATATTTAATATTTCCATTACCTGCAATAACCCCCCTTTGGTTTCAGATTTTGGGGTACTTTTCATTTTTTTTTGCTCGCAGATAAAGTTACCCCGATCAGGAACATTAATCAGATTTTACCGCTTGGGCGGTCAAAGTGTTGTAAAAAGCTGGTCTCATACATGCTGACTGTGTAAACATGCGTTTATCAGTGAAAAGATAAAAGTTGAGGTCATTTCATACAAACTATTAAAAATCATGGCGACTACACCACTTGTTTTTATGGTAACACTTTTCGGATTTGGTAATTGCGATTTTACTTTTATAGGAAATTGCCCGGCAGCAAATCCAATGGTTGATTTCGATGTGTTTGAAGTGAGTTCTTTTAAAAACCTACGCCATTTTAATGATGCAGATAGTTTTTAGGACTATGGTACACCATTGAAAAATCCACATCTACTGTCCCTTGTCTTCAGTACGGTATACTGGAGAACCGAGAACGACGGGGACAGTTTCAATATTTCGAAATCGACCTAGATGAGAAGTCGCGCCACAAGTATAGAACCAGTGAGCTTCTGGTGACAGGTCTAAACAGTGGCACCATGCTTCTGCGACAACCCAGAGAGCAGCAAGCGAGTCACTTTGTTGTACTTGAGACGGACTACAAAACCTATGCCATCACCTTGACCTACAAACAAGTGGCATCTGCGTGTAAGCTGTCTGCAAAGATTCTGTCACGGAATCCGGAATTGGACGAGAATACGATGGAACAGGTCTGTAAATGTGTTAGTGATCTTGTACTTTCTGTAACTATTTTACAGATTAGACATTTACTTTCGAGTTATAATTTAACAACATCGGTTCGTTGCTACGAACCTCCAGAAACTAGCACCGTCGAGCCGCCTACTACATGGAAATATCCCTTCATACGCTTTTAGGATTGTGATATATTGTATCGTTCCTCAGAATACTTGTAGAAAAGGAGGAGGCAATAGAATGCTAGACGCCACTAAAAGCTTGTTTCGGACCCTTCTGTCTTAATTGCCACCTCACCTAAATGATGTTTCACAATGGGAATAATGCTCTTGACAAGTCAACAAAATGTAACTTATCCAAAATTGAAATTCGAGGTTGCGCGTTTCGCATTCCTTTTTTCCTACGCATTATAAGATATTAAAACAATTTTTTCGATATGTATTTTGTTCAAAAAAAATATGACTGTGATGGCATTGTTTAAACAATGACCAATTTCAGGTGTAATATGTACAACATAAAAAAAAAGCCCCACGGTCTTAGAACAAGAAAAAGTGTTTTCCCGAGAAATTTTGGTGCAGTCGATTTTTGGAAAAAAGGAAGGTATTACACTGCCTTTTTTTTGCCCGGAAAAAAAATTGTCTCAGATCGTCCCGGAAAAAAATTTTTCGTATAGAACGTGGCCTGTAGAATCCATAATTTCAAACAGTTCCAAGATTGGGCTACTAGTTCAAAAGTTAAAGCCCTTTGAATTTTCTTTCGAAATTGATCTGTAACTTTTGATTGAGAGGTCTGATCGAAAAAGTACCTTTATATAGAGCGGTCTCTGTTTTTGCAGGACGTTTCAGATCACTGGAATAAAAGTGTTAGAAATCTCTGAAAAGAAAGAAGAAAATCCTATAGAGATTAAAGCATCTCTAAACTCAGAAATGAGTCAAATGTTCTGGTAAGACAGTAGAATGTTTTGGAAAAAAGCAGTGCGTATGTGTATATACCGAAACACAGGATTTTCGATTGCTCTGCAACACCCTCGAAGGCTGCGATTTTTAAGCTATTTAGGGTATGTGCATTGTATATAGAGATTATATAGTTCTGTTAGGGTTTTAAAAGCTCTAGCTTTTTCTTAAAGTTTACCTAAAAGCAAGCAATTGCTCTGAAAGTCACTTTTTAGGAAATCGGGACCTCTCTTTCAAATAAACCCGCGCAAAGTGTAAGACTACTTTCACATTGGCGATTTTAGCAGTCTAAAGAAGTAACGAGACCATGTGCTACCTTGTTTAAGGGGGGGGGGGGGCTTTAATCGTCCGAATGGTCGGCCTTTTTGTAAAGAGCCCTCGTGCTGGGGTTATTAAAAGAAATCTGATCAAAGGAGGTTATAAATTAAAAGTGGCAACTCGGTGTAAGTTCCGCAACGTTGTATTCTCAAACCGTCGTTTTCGTTTGACAGTTGACGATTTCTTCCTTCTACCTTCTGCAACTTTTGGTGTGTTTTAAAATGGCAGCGATAAGTTTATTAAATCCCAAAGCCGAAGTGGCCAGGGCTGCTCAAGCCTTAGCCGTAAATATATCAGCAGCGAAAGGTATACAAGATGTAATGAAGTCAAATTTAGGACCGAAAGGAACCGTGAAAATGTGAGCACATGACTTTGTTTTATGCGATAATCCACTTATAATTCATTAACGGCTTAATTTATACCTCGGCAGCCCTTAACTGACCCAAAAACAAACACTAAAATCGATTCCCTTCCCAAGATATCGTTTTTTTCTCAATCTAACCTCACTTTTTCATAGGTTGGTTTCCGGTGCCGGCGACATTAAAATAACCAAAGACGGCAACGTTTTGCTGCACGAAATGCAAATTCAACACCCGACAGCATCGCTCATAGCGAGAGCTTCGACCGCTCAGGACGACATGACCGGCGACGGTACCACCTCGACGGTTTTGGTTATTGGGGAATTATTGAAGCAGGCGGACATTTATGTCGCTGAAGGCTTACACCCACGGGTTTTGACCGAAGGCTTTGACAAGGCTCGATTTAAGACACTGGAAATTTTGGACAAGCTTAAAATACCAATTGGAATTGGCCGGGAAAACTTGTTAGATGTCGCACGGACCAGTCTTAGAACTAAAGTGCATACGGAGCTGGCTGACGTTTTAACTGAGATTTGTGTCAATGCCATCCTTGCAATTCGTCAGGAAGACAAGCCTGTAGACTTGCACATGGTTGAGTTGATGGAAATGCAGCACAAGACGGCCACCGACACTCAACTAATTAAAGGAATTGTGCTCGACCACGGCTCCCGACATCCTGATATGCCGAAAAAGCTCACCAATGCCTATATCTTGACATGTAATGTTAGCATGGAATATGAGAAGAGCGAGGTGAATTCGGGATTCTTTTACAAAACTGCGGAGGAACGCGAGAAGATGGTTACAGCGGAAAGGGCATTTATCGAGGAGAGAGTTAAGAAGGTGATTGCGCTTAAGAAGAAGCTTTGTGACGGTACAAATAAGTCGTTTGTCGTCATCAATCAGAAGGGAATCGATCCGATGAGTCTAGACATGCTCGCCAAAGAGGGTATTATTGCTTTACGTCGCGCTAAGCGGCGCAATATGGAGAGATTGGCATTGGCATGTGGGGGCGTAGCCATGAATCATTTGGATGATCTTCACGAGTCTCATTTGGGATACGCGGGTCTAGTCTACGAACACGTTTTGGGCGAGAACAAGTTTACATTTGTCGAGGAATGCAAAGTGCCTCAGTCGGTTACGATCCTAATGAAGGCACCCAATAAGCACACACTAGTGCAGATCAAAGATGCCGTGCGTGACGGTTTGCGTGCCATTAACAATGCGCTCGAGGATAAGGCGATCATACCGGGTGCGGGTGCCTTCGAGCTGACCGCCTATAAGGAGTTAATGATATTCAAGGATTCTGTAAAGGGGAAGTCGCGATTGGGTATTGCCGCTTATGCTGAGGCTTTGCTGATCATTCCCAAAGTTCTGGCAGTCAATTCTGGATTTGACGCCCAAGACACGATTGTCAAGTTACAAGAGGAGTCACGTTTAAATCCCGAACCTGTAGGATTGGATTTGAGTTCGGGCGAGGCGATTAATCCAAAGCAAATGGGCATATACGATAATTACATTGTTAAAAAACAAATTATTAATTCGTGTTCGGTAATCGCAAGTAATTTGTTATTGGTGGATGAGATCATGCGAGCTGGGATGAGCAGTCTTAAAGGATGATTCTGTCATTAATCTCTTTGTATTAGTATTTATAATTTTTGTTTACAGCTCGTTTTCTACTTTCTCATAACATTCTCATACTTTCTCTGCTTAATAAATGCATTTAACAGTCTTTTATTCTTCTAAAGATTGTTGATTTAATCTTAACACTTTTGTCAAGTAAAGCGGGCACTTAAATGATTACTTTGGAGTTATAATTGAAATTCTGACAGGAACGCCACAAACCTAAAATAAGGACGATGTAGTTGTAGTAGTTCGAAATATACAGCAAAAGTGTTCCTTTAAAATTCAATTGAAATCCTTTCTCATTTGCAACGGAAAGTTTTTTCCGAGGTTACTGTATTGAGTAGCATTTTTTATTACAAATCAATGCGTTTGTTTTGTCCCTCTACTTCTGAAAATTTGGTAATTTTTATTTATCAATTGCGTTTTTGTTACCCTATATTGTCTATGACAACTGAAAGTGAATATAAATAATTTCAATAGTTGGTGCTGGAATTTCATCCGGCGCCCCTACTGCCTTGACGCCTCTATGCGCCGCACACATGGGCGGATTGGCCCTGACAACATCCTAATTGTGTGAGAATATCTATCAGGCAAATTTCCTGGAAATTTTGTCCGATACGTATTACTGTACGATTGGGGCGTTGTGCGCGGGTCCACCACTCTGTTAAAACCACCTCCACCACCAACTTTTGAGTTTTTTGTGTGCCATACATCGTGGTATTGGTAATAAAAAATGCTACACAATGTACGGAAACAAAAAAGTTGATGATTTCTCCGAAACCACAAGTTGTATTGAAAATTGCTATCTTGTAGAGCTCTAAAAGTGGCAATGAGAAAGTGCTCTTTAACTTTTTGTATCTGTTCAAGTAACATCAGAAAAAAGTAAAAACGAAATTGGCACTGTTCTGTTTCTGTGGCATATCTTCGGAAGTAATCAAAATGTGCTGGATTTCTTTAAGGCACGACAGTAACTGTTTAATTGCCCAAGTTTCCCCTAATTTGACCATCGTATGGTCTATGGTTTCGGTGATCCCCGTGGTAGACATCCGTATCTTGGAAACAGTGTATAAAATCAACTAAAATTGACATTGCCAGAGAGGCAATATATGCTAATAGACAAGAAACTGTGACAGCAAAATTATTATAAATCTTAATTCACATTTACTACATTTCTTTAAGGTTATATACATTAGCTACATAAAAATTATTAATATCGTAATACCATCACATTGATAAAAAGAAACTTATTTACTTGATAAATCTGTGCTCGATTTTCTTGCTGTAGACTTCAAGGTCTTGTTTAGCAATTCTCTTGTGCCGTTAAATGTAAACTGTACATCACAATTACTCAGCGGATGAGCGCTTGGAGTTAGGGGTGTTCCGATACCACTGTCGATCGAACTTGTAGGTGATGTTTTATTACCATAAACGGGTAATTTTTCACAAAGTGGTAAACTAACAGATTTTTCGTCCATTTTAAGGAAATTGTACTTGTTAATGTCGGTGCAGTCGGAAGTGCTTTTTAATTTATGAGCGTCATTGCCGAGACAATCTTGAATTTTAATGTCAACCAGGGGTTTGATCTGGTTAAGTGAGCTCAAAGAGAATGGTGCACGTGATCGGGCCGTTAAGCTATTTGAACGTAAAATATCTGACTCTTGAACTCTCAGATCTTTCGAGATGATTCTGCCTGTGCTCAGTGATTTAATCATTTTATCTTGGGGCGATTTGATAATGCGCATTCCATTGTTTTTCTCATTCCTGCGCTCTTCTGCGAAAGTTAGCTGAGATAAGATTCGACGGACGTCATCGGGAATATCCACGTCAATCTTTTGCTCGATCACTGAATGAATAAAAGCGCCAAGCGTTGTAATAGTCACTTCAAGGCCACGGTTTTGCACCTCCAGTCTGTTTATTGACGCTTGCTGAGCGGAACGATTCTTTTCCAAGCGCTGTATGTTACCAAGTGTAAGTTCTAACTGTGCCATTAGTGCTCCATTCTGTTCGGTAAGTGTCTTATTTTGAGCTTCCATTTTTTGTAAGGCCTCGACTTGAGGTTGAACAGATGCTAGCTCCTCCTGAAGTACCTGATACTCCACCAGGTATTCGTTTAGTTGTTTCGATATGTCAGAGCTGACCACCTAGAAAAAGACAGTCATTGAAAATAAAGAAAACCAGTTTGTCTAAAAAGCAAATTTAGGAAATAATCGCATTTCGTTTACGAAAAGAAAGTAATCTTTTGATTAGGGCGTAGGTAAATCGATTGATTGGTTAAAGCAGCTTTACCTTTCATACCAATGTAACACCTATACGGACCCATATATCTGCAGGTAGGTATGTATCAAGGTGCTCATTGACAATGCTGTACAAAAATTTGCTGTGTTTTAGGGGGCGTCGAATTGATTTGTAAATGGCAAGTAAGTACAATAGTAAAATTTTGTGATGGATTTAACTGCCAAGTGAAGAAAAAGGAAATCTTGTACATTTTGAGATTAATTCGGTTAAAATTTTACCAACTGCTTAATAGGTAACAGCCTCGCCTATTGTCAACGACTACGGCGACGAACTTTCGGTTTGGTACTTGTTCTCTGTTATTCTAGTGAGTGAAATGTTTTAAGTACTTACTAATCATTGATGGAACCGTTTGGTCATAATTATTTGTGCATCAATGTATTGAATTTAAACTTCCCTATCATTCATTTTTACTGATTGTTTCAAATTGACTAAACTTACCTCCTTCATAACTTTTTCTAACATAATCTTGTCGATTGCTGGTAACTTTAATTTTAAGTAATTCATGATTTCCTCAAAACTGTCGCACATCAGTAATTCCTCCTTGTGTAACAAAAGTAATGCGAGTGCGACTCGAAATATCACATCTGTATTTTCTAGGAAAAGAAAATCGAATACCCTAGTGACGAATCCTAATGGAAACTGAGAAGCAAAAAGCGTTAAAAGCCAAGGCGCCGCATATAAAGTGGGCGCAACTTCGTAAAAGTCAAAATGTTGATATAAATCGGGTAGTTGATCGCGTACCAATCTTGATAGTTGATACAATTTCACCTGCAATCCGATCATATCTGGTAAATACTGATTTCGAAGTCCCCTTCTAAACATTAAGTGACGAAGCAGGAAGAACGCCTGTGATTCTTCCATCTGAAATGGCAAGGTTAGTTTGTTAGTGCATTCTGTATTTGACACACTCACATGTAGGAGCAAAACTCCTGCGACAAAACTCAAGCCCTGGCAATATCCGACTTCGGGATCCAACAAAGAATATGCTTTCAATAAGTTGAACAAAGCCAACTGGCCTGGACCTAATGAACTACTGTAGTACGAGTGAGATGGAAACGTGCGCCCTAAAACAAATGCAAGTAGCATACCCAAAATGGAGTCGTATCTATACCTAAATCGATCAAAATTGCATGTTGATGAGAGGTAAGTTGCTTCAGCAAACTTTCATATTGTATATTATAGTTGGGAAATTTGTTTGTGTCTATCGGAGCAATGTTAACGCAGTAATGTTCTGCGAGAAAATGCCACACTTCACCTCTTTTACTACGTGGAATTCCCCTCCGAATCGCTTGAAGTAATAGCTGATTATCGGTTTTAACTGTGACCCTTGTCTCCTTATTAGTGATCATATCCCAAACCTCGATCACTTCACGCTGATTCAACTTCAATTCATCATACTCCAATTTGATCCTTCTCACTGCATTTTCCTCTTGCTTAGCTAGAAACAATGAATTAATTGTAGTTTTCTGATTGTTTGTCAAATATGGAAAGCTCAAGGTGGCCTAACCACCCATAGAGCTTTGGATAGTGATAGTCTTTTAGGTTTCTCAGAGCCTTGTAGGGCGTTATAGCGCATTTTGGACTTGTTAAACGCCTTCCATAAACTCGTTAGTTATTTAGAGATTATGAGATAGTTCTATGTCTGTGCCAGAACTAGAAGGAGTTGGAAGTAGATACACAGCTCTGGCAAAGACCTAGAATGGTATTAAAAAGTCCTAGAAAGAGATTTCTTTTAAAAAGAAAAGGCTTAAATTTCGAATTTCAAACACCATAAATTACATTTGGAGATTAAACATGAAATGAAAAATTATCGTATGCAATAATGAAGTTTGACACATAGCAATCTAGGGTGTTTCAAGTTTAAATGTCATTACTAAAGATGAATGCAGCAATTGTTTTTTACTCTCCTCACTAAAGAGGAAAATCACATTTTCTTCACAGTTTTAATCTTCTGGCGCATGTGCGTAAATTTCAAACATGTAATTTCAATTACCAAAAATCACGGCACGGATAATCCGCTGCCCAGATAAACAGCACACGGTTAATCGTGATTTTACTGTACTAATATAACAACAGCATGAACTAAACCTCCTTATGTGAATCAATAAATTTAGTTTAAGGTTTGGCAAATATAAACACTATTTATTAGATGGCCAAGATTTTACTACTAATCACCTTTAAGCTTGGCATTTTCTTTTTCCATACGAACAAGAAGAATTGCTTGATGTATGGACTTCTTCCACAACATTCGTAGTTCCTCCTTGCTACGTTTCTTCAAACAAATCTCTTGCTTGCTAGGAGTTATGACTCTTTTAAACATCGCCTGTCGCCACGACCCAGTGTCTAGCTTAGGTGAACCTTCTTCAGGCACAGTCAACTTGGGACTACTACCAACTTTAAAGAATCTAAAAAACGGCATCAATTTTGAAGGTCATGTTTGCTAACTTACATATCCATCATTGGCGACTTAAGGGTTTTGTCAGCTAGGTGCCGTTCAGGTGACACCAAAATTTTGCTATCCTTCACACTCAAACGATCCTTGAGATCATTTACCGAGCCAATAGTTGATGATCGCGAACGAAAACCATCGGAGTCATCACTCACATGAGGAGAGGCCTCCTAAAAGCGCAGCACTATTTTTTGCTTTCACACCATAAGACTTACCCTACTCAGCGAGTGAATGGGCAGAGACATATCTTTAAGTACGCTTGATATATCCTCTCGAGACGCTTTACGTTTAAGAAGATTATCGAATGAGTTTGTGAGCGTTCTCCTTGCCTTGGTGAATATCGTGCTTCCTCCCAAATACTGATTCAAAAATTCAGACCTGAAAACGAACCATTTATTATTCATAGAAAGTAATAATGTAGGGACATAAACTAAAGTCCTTTCATGCATCAAAGTGAAACTGCTGATAATACCGCAAACTACCAGCGGCTTTATCTAAATCTCATACACATTTGAAACATGAATCGATATTACTTACTGGTCAAATAAATTGCTATCTAAATGATCAAACTGTCAGTACCAAATTCCATTATGAAAGCACCTTTGGCCCAATTCTGCTAGTTCTCAAAATAGTTAAATAAAACTCAATTTTCTAATAGTCAAAAATGGGCACCCTGTTTTTAAAACTTTGGAATATATTGTTTTCATAGCGCGTGACGTCATCAGAAAGTGTGGTAGTGAAGCCTCTCATGCACTTTCGATGCCCGTAGGATATTGCGGCTTTTGACGGACTTTTCCTATCCAGAATACATTTCTGGCGCTACCATTGGATTCCTCGGATTAAAATCATGCGCAATTGACACCCAGATTCTCCTCTCTATAGGCTATATTTAGTTATTTCAAAAATTTTACGATTAATCACCCCCACCCCTCTAAAATCTAGCCACACGGAAATGTCACGTGTTCTTCAGGCCAAATCGTCTAAATATTTCTAAGGAACAGCTGTACCAAATGGCACCTTGGTATCACAAAATGCGTATCTTTCAAGAATTGCTGTTATACCTACCGCTAGTATACTATAAGTAACAATTACGTTCGTAATTAAAAAAAGGTACAAACCTATTTTCCGCGGTGTCGTGTACATGACGCCCCTGCTTCATCTCACAATGGGCACGTAACAGCATCATGAGAAACTCGTTTTGTTCTCGAAGAGAATCGGTTTCGGCACCTCGAAATTTGGTAAGAATAATAGTTTGCTCCTCCTCTTCTAGCGTTTCTAATTTACGTAAAATAGCACCGTGAGTCTTTCTGTCGGTCAAATGCTCGATTTCTGCGCACAACTTGTGATACCACACCATTGGACAGTGTTCGCACGAGGTAATCACTGGACGAATATACTTGTAATCCGCATTTGTCAAAGCTTGTGAGATTGCTACAAAGTCGCGGATTAGTAATAACTACGGACTCATAAGTACAGAGGACATACCTCCGACAGCCTCATTAGCAACCGACAGTGAATCGCACTTAAAAACGTACCCAATGTATGCGTTGGCCGTGTTAACTTCGCGACAGATAAAGCCGAAATGTGTCGGATTAAGTATCCCCTAAAACTGTAATGATTACACGACGTTAACAATTATTTTATACCTTGGCACACGTTGTGATATCACGATTTTGCTTATGAAGCAGAACTAGTTTTCGATCAGGACTGATAAGTCGTAAGTCACCTCGGCCAACTTGCAACACCATGGTGCGATTATGATCGTCGAATTTCATCGAATACTTAGCCGAGGTTGCCTCATTCTCATGAGGATGTGCAGCATTTTCGCTTGAATCTGCAGTAGTCGGGATGTCATCCGCCATGGAATTTTCTGAGAAGCTTCTAGTTTTAAATTTAACACGTTTTATATGACAAAGAGGATTAGGACTGACATTATCACAGATTTCCTCGGGAGATTCTTGACATTCGGTTACACCAAGCGGTAGCGATGGCTTATCTGGTGTTTCGGACAATGGCATTTCTGCAATTTCCGGACTTTTGACCGATATGGAAGATAGCGTTGACGAACGTATAAGATTTGGTGGAAACTTGGTGGTCTCTGTTACGTTTGTGCTGTTGTAATTAGAATCCTTAAAGAATTGATATCGGCGGTAACAATATGAATATCAAATAGTATACACTTACAATTGAAGATCGTCTCTGTAAACCGTCACCGCGCATTGTTTCAGGCGAACCATGTAATCTACTTCGAATCTCTTCATCGTGCGCTTTAAATTTCTCAAGTGCATCGTCGATAAATGTGTCAGGTACCTTTTTGTTCCACACTTTTATTTTACCAATATACAACACCTATAATTAAAGAATTCATTAGAATTACTTATACTGAATAAATACTAAGTATAGGTATCAAGTGATACAATCGTTTAACCAAGGGGGACTATGAGAGTTCAATCTCGTTCCGAAATTGAAAAAAATTATAAAAATATACATCCTCTGAAATAAAATCGGGGCGTTAAAAAAACGACATGGACATCGAATCAAATTTAGAAAAATTGTTTTTGGGACATATTTAGGTACTGTTTACTTTTAAAAAACCAAAAAAAAAAAACAGAAAGGACATTCATCTTGAACCCTAAAGCTGTAATTATTTTCCCATTATCAATATATTAGAAAAAACATATCCTGTATGTAGGTATGTATATAGGTAATGTATTTTCCCAAAAATATAAATTCAAACATAAAATAAAATCACTACAATTAGTGAAGATGAATTTAAGCTAATCAAAATGCGTTTGAAAGCATTAAGTTTGTCGTCACTCCTATTGCCTTGAACATTATTGTTGTAAGTGAATGGATTATGCCAATTAGTAAAGATATATCAAAGAAATTCCCCTTGTAATAGAAGCATTCTGCATGTCCTGTATGTGGAACCATTGAATAAAATAGCTAGTGTTTTGATTCAATGGTGGAACTTATTGTCCTAGCGTCTTACCTCAATGAAATTACTGGAGCTAGGAGAAATGTCTATGCTAAGTGACGTCAAACTGCTAGCGCTGCTTAAGGATTTCGTTGGTGTTGTATTTTGGTTGTCCTTCATTTGTTGATATAAATCAGCAACCTGCAAAAAGTGAAATGTTGATCAATGGCACCTTGCACGTCGCGGCGGGAATTGCACATACAGCTTTGCGAAAATAGGACGCATCACTCTGTGAGGATATATAAGGGCTGTATCGAAATGGCACGTGATTCATCTGTTAGTACAAGCGAAGTGTTTGTTAAAATGAACCGATTCTGTCAAGCCGATATACTGAACTAACATCAATTAATAGAAAAGTAGTCGTCGAAATCTAATTTTAACTTACAATTAATATGATTGAAGGCAAGATTTTTCATTATGACGTCCACATAACAGTTACCTACATTTAAAATCGAGCATGAAATGGAATGATAGGTATATAATTTCAAACCCTTTTCCAAATTAATGGTAAATTCTTTTGACAAGGCGATGGAACAACAATGAGTAAATATGTATAATAGCGCTCCATTTATATCTGACCTTTTTATGCGTAAATTTGAAACTGATTTACAAGATATGACTTATTTTTTTACCCTTGTGATACCAAAATGTGTGCCCCTAAGGACTTTGTTGCTTAACTAAATTCAAAATATGTATGCTTCATTTCACTTTTTGGTTCCTAGATTAATTAATTTTCTACTTTAACATCAAAATTACATTAACGAATTGCGCGTATTTGTATGTTATCTTTCAATTATTGTTAGCCGATGACGACAGCTTTGCAGGCTTTGCTGTTTGAAATTATGCGTTCGATCTTTTAATATATTATTGTGTTTAATTGGCGTTTTGTTTTACTGTTTGTAACCCACAGCAATTACTGTGCTTCCCGTGTGTATATACCTAAAGTTACAGTGAAAAGGAAAGAGCAAAGAAAATAGTTACCCCACAATACAGGCATTAGGTGTACGTACAGGGTCTTCAAACTTAAGTCGGGTCTATTGCCAACTTGCTAATTATAATAGATACAAGATTTTAGTTACACTGAATACTAGGTGAAAACAGAAAAACAATTGACAGTCCATTCTCAAAATATCGACAAAAACGCAACGCCCTCATTAGTTCAACAAAAGTTGTTATGTCAGATTGTTCTAAAGTCAAAAATAAGGAAGCTATTGACAACTTTGATTCAAAGCTGGTTATTATCAGATGATTTAAAATAAACAATCAATAAAGTCGTCAATAGATATTTCTCTTATTTGTCAGTTTGCAATAAACAAATATTTCTGAATCACAGCCACGTTGGTGAAATATAAAAATTTTCAATAGCTTCCTTATTTTTGACTTTAGAGCAACGTATCGTATAGTGGGTGTTCCATTAGAAAAAAATGCGACTGTCAATTGTTTTTTTTAATTTTTACCATTGTAATGAGCTGGACCCTTAATATACCTACCCGCATGTATTTAAAATGTTTATAAACACGATTTTTTGCTATGAAACGGAAATATGAATGAAATGGTACCGACATTTTATGGGGCATGCGAACGGCATATTAAAAACAAGACAATTTGGCACCGAGACGATTAATATATATGTCATTAACGTAACATAGCCGCATTATTTGACAGTGACCTGATGATGGCAGGGTAAAGATGGTGAAACGCGAGCCCTTGGAGGTATTTCTGCATTCAATTGAAAACGAAATTGAAAAACACGACCTATACACACTAAATTAACGGGTTCTCTGTTTCCAACATAATTAATTAACACAAAACGGACTTACTACAATGGAAAATACGACGATAACATACAAGCTGCGTTTTAACACTTTAGTCTATAAATAACTGCGGCGCACGCCTCATAACAATTTTCTAAATTTAATTACGGTAAAATTTTTATGTTTCACACACTATAGTATTTAAAAAATCTACAAAATCGAAGGCCGCTCTTTAGTTGCGAAATAAAGGCAAATGACCAAAACCGCCTGAATTTTATTATCATGACGACATTCAGGTCACCAGATTTACTCGCGACCCCTTTTTTTCAACCCCCATCGGACACGCAAACTAATTGCACTTAATTGTCACGTACTCCCTTCTCCACCCTCTCTTTGACTACTAACCGCAACATTTTTCGCTAGAATATCAAAAGTAACTTCCTTGGCAAACGTTTTAGACGGCTATTTTAATCGCCGTTCTAGTCATTCATTTTATTCTGCAGAAAGTAATTGTTTATCCTAACAAACGCGTAGATTAACGCCAATCGATAACAAAGTTCACCTGTTGGTAGTAGGTGGTGGACGTGGGGTTCGAGATCAATATAGTGAAACTTTTTCTCGAAGGGAAAGTCACTACATGTTTTACTGAAACCACTTACAAATCGTTTTGTCAGGACTCAGCAGTCGCGAAGAGGGCGAAAATATGTCGCATTTAGATATTCCAATTTAGTCCCTTCGGAATAATTAACATTGACTGTACGCCAAATGTTACACATAACACATCTCAGGTCCGCCTAGTTGGTTTAGCAACCAAACGATTTTCCTAATCACAAAATCACTCCATCACTCCATATGCCAAAATTGATATATTTACTTTTCTTACTTTTCGAATTCTAAGGTAGAACTTAAAAATGAGTAGCGGCTGGCGCTGGGTCGTCTTTGGAAGTTCAATTTCCCATGTAAACAAAAATTCCAAAGGTGACTCGACACCAACTCTTTTTTTTTATCGCATAGTGTATCATTGTGTGACATGGAAAATGCTACACCAAGAAGGCTTTGGCAACTTGATCGAGAAAAATAAAAGATGACGCTTTTTAATTTTTTTTTATGGTCTCAATAGGCGAAAAGTCGGGAGGGAGGACTGATATAAAAGCCGAACACTGGCCTCTTCCAGTCGGGGTATAATTGAGACGAACGTGTACATTATTTTGCTGGAAAAGTGGAGTACACAGCTCCCCAAGAAACGGCTTAAATGGAATGCAATTCGACTTGAGTTACTTTTCGTATCTAGAACATGTAATTTTTTATGAACACAGAACATTAAGTTTCCAGTTTCGTGCGCTTCGAATGCGCCATTAAGGAACGAGATCATTATTCTTCCAGCATCTTATGATCGGTTCCTCTCGCTTTTTACGATAATCTTTGGTTGTAAGTTTCCAGCTTCATTCGAATAAATTGCTTTGTTTAAATAAATACATGCCTTCCGAGTATAAGTGAAAATCAATACGTTAGGGGAAGTAATTGCCTTTCCATTACAGAAATCCCTTCAAGAAAGGACAAACTACATAAACTAAAATATGTATTTGGGTTGGGTAGGTATAAAGTCAACAAAGTTTTATCGATCCGACGATTAAACAAAAATGTACATTTTGTGTCCGAAAAGAATGCTGCCAAGCTGTCTGTCTCACACTTTCAGTTCGCCTAACACTGGGTACGTCCGTGCGCACCCAATAATAATTATGTACTTACCTACCTGTTTCAACAGATGGCATTTTTCTCACGTAGGGCGCTATGTATAGTTAATAATGTATAACACGTCGGCGGAGAGAAGGTCATCCATTGCTAACCAGAAAAACAGAACCGTGCCAAAATAAATGCAGGCCAAAAACTCGCACATTCGCAAACAGTCTTTATTGTCAAACGTACAGAGCAATATGTATGCGAACATCCGGTCATTTTACAAATTTAGAAATTTAAATTAATCCCTAGGTACAACCAAAAATGGGTGTATCAACAATTTCGTGTACTTACTCGTACCTACATGAAATTATTCAGGGAATAACGTTAATGAGACCTAAACAAATTTAGACCTAAGGTGATTTGTTGGTAATTTTCGCACTGAATGTGGTCCTTTTTCCAATCTGAATGTACTTTTTCTTTTTCCTTTTGTACTATATGATGTTCATTGGAAATAAACATTATTATTATTATTATTATTATTATTCTAATTCAACAATAAAACTATCATAAAAATACAGGTGGTGGACCCAGTTGTGTGTGGTACCTATTGCTTCTGGGTTACGGGACAAGCGCTCGGCTAGTTAATTCTGATGGTCCATGGCGCAGTTTTCGAATGAGAACGTGCATTTTTGCATCAGCATCGCCCACACTGTCACTTTGCTTCTGTCGTCCTTTGTCCGGTCTATCCATTGCAGGGCTCGACTGTCGGTGCGTAAGGTGAAGCGGCGATCTTCGAGGTAGGTCTATACCATTTGATTGCCCAAGTTAGTACCTACTAAACACCCCTCTTCATTTATGGGTACCTGGCCTGAGCTGAGGTCTGTTTTGTACTCGCGTAACCGATGAACTAGAGCCAAATTCCCAGCCTCAGGAGCTTGTGTAGGAAAGCAAAGACTTGCTCAACTCAAGTGGTTGGTGGTAGCTGCGTATAAGTCAGCCCTTCGGTGGCGTCTAGTACACGAGTCAATCAGTGCTTTTCCTTGGGGGTACAACTCCTATTGGGTCGCTAACGGTAACCTTCTTGGTGTTTTCTTTAACTTTGTTAAAGTCAATCATATGAAAAGCACATTCGGGACGTTTCCTTGTTATGCCATGCCAGGTGGTCATTTGAGACCAAAGCAACACAGAAGGGTGTAAATTATAATTAAGAAAATCTTAGAATAGAGCAGAATATTAAAACACCTCATAAAACATTCAGCACATAAAACGTGCTAATTGAGTTGCCGCTAAAATAATTGGACATTGTCACATTTAAATTTGTCTCATAGGTTTTTTAATGAATTCGTTCTCATTTTTTTGATATAAAATTTTAACTTCACTTAGTAGATATTTTACATTTACATAAATAACAACATCAACACTAAAATCGTGTGTTTTAACGCAATGATTGAAACGATAACCTTTAACGCCTTCTTAAACTTTTACATAGTTTAGATAAACTCGTTAGTGCTCACTTAAATTATGTTCATTAAACTATTGTGCTTAATATTACTCTGTCGGGCTCTCGCTTACGCAAAGTCTTGGAAGCCGACCGTTTATCAGAAGATACGCCAGACGCCAAAACTTGGTCAGTTTCTAGCCCTAATCGAAAGTAATCGATCGTCGAAACTTAATCTTCAATATGGCGAGTTGACTGTTTTCGCCCCAACGAACGAGGCCTTCGAATGGTATTCCGGTAGACAGTTGAACGATGTCATCAATTATCATATGGTATGGTACGCCAAGGAGACCAAGGATCTGGAAGATGGATTTCTAACAACCGTCGCAGAGGAGAATCCCCCTGTTTGGATAACGAAACTAGAGGACGAAACTTACGTGAATAATGCGCGAATTATACCCGACCTCTCCGACTATCGCTCCGAAAATAACAATGTTCCAAGCAAATCGCAAGTTCTGCATGTAATCGATGAGGTTTTAAATCCGATTGTGAGACGAGCGGCGCTTGGAGTCGAAAATCCTACAGCATTCGAGCTACTCTCGCGCACTAAACTGTGGGATTTAGGACACCACAAAGTAGATATTTTTTACAGGTATGACGTGAGTAATTTAATTGGTCAGCTGAATCGGAATTAGATTCGTAAGTACGGCATCAGGATAGCCATACCTACTATGTATCTCGATTTACTCACACTCATTCACTTTCCTAAAAATCCATCTCCATCCATCATTACAACCCAAAAAGATGTTTCTGAAGGCACTCAAATATTAGAAATTGTTTAAGCAGTACCGTAGATGTATAAGAGCATGAAACGTCCGATAATTTGACGTAAATTACACATTATGTAAGAAGTGGACCATCGTACTTAGGAACTTAAATTGCCAATAAACATTTACCAACATTACTATACAATAGCATAAACTAACTGGTAACATAATGATCTTTACAGGAAGGTCCTGATACATCGACAAGAGAACATCCTGAAAGGGTGTGATGGTTGTACCTTTTTCATCCCAGTAGATGAGGGTTTTACAGACTATCGCCAGCAACTGTTTGACGTCAACGTGCTTGCCGCACATATTATACCAAAACGTGTGCTATTTACTCGACCCGCACCTAAAGACTTGCCCTTCGAAACTCTAGCCGCTGGTGACGATCTCTACGTTGTAATTTTACTATCGAGGAGCGAAGGTAAACTGTTTATCAAAAGCCACACGTTAATCGAAGACGCAAACCACCCGACTGGAGAAATTATAACAGAAATCGTCATACCGAATATTCCGGTCAAAAATGGCGTGGTACATCTCATAAAACGACCGTTAGTGGTTTTTGATCGCAAGCTCACGATATTTCCGTATCTGAGCATTATGGATAAGGTTATGACGGACATCTTTCTAAACTACTCCTACACTTTAGGCGAGCTCACGCAGTTCAACAAAGTGCTACAGAGCGACCAACTCATGACTTACTTTATACCGCGCGACAAAGCGTGGAGAAACCTACAAAATTTCCTGGGGCTCAATCGTACATACTTTGATCAATTTGTATTAAAGTACGGTAGATCGATATTAAACCGCCATCTTGTGACGTCGAACGTCTCGTATAGCATGGAAGACTTTTGGAGGAGGACCAACCACACCAACACGGCAAATGTGAACTTACCGACCCGTGGGGGTATATTACGAGTCGGTGTATTAGAGGTTGACGGACAGTATACCATCTACTGGAGGAATAAATTTATACCAGTACATCGAGCAAACTACCTGTGCAGCAACGGAATCATTCACATCATTGACGATTTATTTGTCAACGAGGAAGACCTGCACGTATCGGACATCACGGACGATCCCAGTGATACGAATCCCCTTAAGTTTTTAAACATACTCATGCGTATTACATTGTAATATTGCGAATAAAAGACTGATTGCACTTATTTTTCTATTTCTGCCATTGCTGAAGGTCACAGCGTCGGTGTCCAGTTTTTACTTACCTATTGATTAGCTATGAGATTCGTGCATAAGATGTGTCATTGTGCCAAAAGAAGGCAGTGAAGGAGTGTGTGTGGGGGAGAGAGAGAGAGTGTAGTTAAAGAATACCCATCCATTTACCCTCGGCATGCATCATATTGTAAAGAGATGATTTGTAACAATAAGTTAAAGTCCAACGCAAATTCGTACTTACATCAGAGGCCTTCAATGCTTGGAAAAGGTAGCAGTACAACAGTTGTTCCCCATCGTCGCGCACTAAATAGAGGAAAGTGCACGGATCTATGTCTGCCTGTGAGAATCTTGACATATTTTGGACGTGATGTGAGAATTGTAGCTCGAAATCCGAATTGTACGCCTGAAGAACGCCATCTTCAACACCCAAGCTGACCTAGAATTAAAAGAGCCGGTGAACATATTTGTCAGTACGGATTCTTAAGAAAAACAACGACAAATGTATCCATAATTATAATTCCAAGGCTTTTAGTCGTCATTTCCTAAAATGATATTGACAGCAGATACATATAACAATCGCAAACCTTATTATTTACCATAATGTTTCCCATGCGTGTAACTAATTGTGTCGTTGTTTATATGTCCATTTTATAATATCAGATCGTTTTGTGTATACATTTTCTACTTCGTTACGATGTGTAAAAAGAGGCATCCGCTACTCTACGGGCATGCAAAAAACGGAAACATCTAACTATACACTGAATCCAAAATAAGAATGTCTATCATGTGCACCTCATAAACCATAGAAAATACGATGATGGTCAAATTAGGGAAAATTTCCGCAATTAAACACTTAAACTTTTCTTGGAAAATGAAAAATTTGTCAGATAGTACAATACGTATTCTGGCACGATTAGAGCGTTGTACGTGGATGCACCGTCCTGTTGAAACCAACAGTTTCCAACTTTTGGTTTTTTGTGTGCCATAGATCATCGTACCTATGCTATTTAATTGCGCAACTTTACCCTCTTTTATGCCATACTAATAAGGGAAAAGCAAAACGCACGCGTGCTTCTGGTTTTCAAATGGACAAAACCACATGAGAAAACAAAAAGTACAGTTGCATTTAGAGACTGTGAACGAAATAGTCATTTTCACACCGACTTGCTATACTTTTTCCGACCCAGTAAGTCGTTTTATTCTTGAGGGAATACGATTTTCTTACACGAATGAATTGCAAATTTTAAATTACTTTTCTAGTCTAACTAAAACTGCGTATAATATCGCAATAAATCGATTCCCATTAACTTAAAAATGTTCCCCGTCCCTTAAAATACTATAAAAATATGGAAAACGATTTTTAATGGTGACGTGATAATAAAACGTTTATTCAAACTGATAAGATTTTAACTACAGCTTTGAAATCCAAATACGACAATACCTACGTAGGTAGTGAATAAATGTTTGATGTTATTCTTTTGTTATGATGGCATGGGGTAGTTAACGGCTATTATCCTGCGCATCTGTACATATTAGCATTTAATAACGCATTTTAATGCTGACACATATGACTGGGGCTGTAGTTTAATAGTAGAGTTTGAAAAGAATTCAAGTAAAAACTTCGTGGCAACGTGTAGTGCAAACAACCAAAATGACCAACGGATTAGCAAAAATGTGCAACGACTTGCCTAAACTGTATAATTTTGGAGATGAATATATGGATTTAATTCCAGAAGGAAATGGTGAGATTTTTTTTAACTAAATTTCCCCAATTTTGAAATTAGCAAATTGTTCGCTATATTTCGCGTCACACTGTTTGTAACATTTCCTACAATATACGCGAAATTCCAAGAACTATAATTTTTTCCAAAGCATTCTATATTTTTTTTGTAATGAGCCATATTAGAACTATGCTGAGAAGTTGTGCGAAAAAGCTTACTTTAAGAATCGCCCATAAAATGTACCGTTTGCGATAGACGAATATCTTTGGTATCATATTTTTCATATTTTCCTAAACAATTTTTAATTTAAAAAGGGAAAGAAGACTTCGAAATTAAAAAATATCTGAATGGCTTTTGAGTAGCAATTAATGATTTTGGTTAAATTATGTAGTTAATTTATTATTTTATTTTATTTTTGATCTTTATTTTTAAGCGGGTGGGGTTTCCGCCAAGGCGAAGATATATCTATGTTCACTGAAAAAGCGCGCATCGGACGCAACGCATATACAAATTCTATTTCAAATTTTGTTAGCAAACTAAATTGCCTTTTGTATGTCAAACAAAATAGGAGTTTACTTGCATATGACCTTACCAATTTAAACAACTCAAGAAATTTATATCAAAGCTCTCAGTTCTGAAAATGTTCAAGAATGGATTCTACACGGAAAAGATTCTACACGGAAAAATAAGGGTGGTTTGATAATTACATCCCTAATATCTAAAATGAAGTGGAACGAAACTAGAATTTATGCAACCAGCAAGCAACATTTTTCCACTGTAATTAGATAAAATTAGTGTACTGGCTCGGTTATGAGAAGTTAGTCCAGTTTTCCAGTTTTCATATAAGTCATCTAAATGAGTCAAATATGTAAATTATAAATTGTCACTTGTTGTGTAACGAAAGAAGAAAGTGACATTCCGTTTCCGTGTTGTAATTTTTGTCAGTTAAAGAGATTGTTGATGTTACAAATAGAGCCTGGCCACGCATTATTTCGTACAATTTTTGAAACTGGATGCTTTTAATCAAGGTGGTCGCAGACGGAAGGGATCAGTTTTCCAATTTTACTGAGCAAATTGAAATAACATAAATTATTAAAGCGAGCTAGCCGTCGGTTTGAATTAATACGATTGACTCCGCACTCCACTAAGGCAATCTGTATCGTCACTAAAACGTTTCGTGTGAAGTAGCTGTAAAATGTACGTTAAACCTTCATGTTCTAGACCCAGAGACGAAGAAGGGTGAAATTCGAAAGTTAGGAAAGATGCTTCGAGACGAACACATAACGATTGTAACTACACAAAACAAGCCACTACACTACGTAGTAGAGGATAGTAACGGACAGTTGGTTGGGAAAGGGGCAGCTTTCGATTTACTTCACTACATCAAAGAGCAATACGAATTTAATTACACTGTAACTCTGTACAAAGATCAAGGTTTGGGAAACAAGAACGCAAGTATTATCAGAGAACTCGGCGAAGGCGTAAGTAGCAGAATTCAAATGGTCCACGTCGAGTAATATGTAGCTTTCGTAGCGTGCCGATATAGCAGTAGCATTCGTGCCGATACTTCCTGGAGTGGACACTGCATTGGACTATTCCCCAATCTTAGATCTTGGAGAATGGATGTTGTTAATGAAACGGCCAAGCGAGTCCGCAACCGGTTCAGGATTACTGGCACCCTTTACCTCTGACGTTTGGATCTTAATTTTGATATCACTAATCTCCATGGGTCCGATAGTGTCGCTCCTAATACTCTGGCACAAAAAGCTTTGTCCGGGAGAACAGAATCTTACGCACAGTCTATTCGAATGCGTCTGGTTCGTTTATGGAGCGATTATAAAACAAGGCTCGACCATGTACCCAACTGCAGGTAAAGACTCTCCTGTACGTAGGATCGTAATTCGCCTTGTTTTACAGACTCGACCAGGTTACTCTTTGCGGTGTGGTGGATTTTTATAACAATACTGACCGCCTTCTACACAGCTAATTTAACCGCTTTTTTAACCATTTCCATGTTTACACTACCAGTCTCGAAAGCGGAAGACATCGGCGCGAAAAAGTACAGTTGGATTGCAGACGATGGCGGAGTAATTCAATGGGCCATGGATGACGTAAGTATAGTGATGTGTCGCGACATACGATTCAGATATCATTCTCGTGTAACTAGGTCTTGCAGAAACCTTTGCACAATTCGATACCAATCTACAAAAACGATAGGGATGCAAAGGTTATCATGGAGGACTATGTGAGGGTTCAAAATTATCTATATATTAACGATAGACTAATTCTGGAGGATATGTTGTATAATGACTACATGAATCGAACAAAGAAAGACGTTCCGGAATCTGAGCGGTGTGTCTTTGTTATAACGAAGTGGCCAATATTAACTATCGAGAGGGCCTTTGCTTACAAAAAGAATTTCAAATACAAACCCCTCTTTGATAAAATGTAAGTTTTTCATAGCTAGTCGCTCGATGCACTCATCCCACTTGTAGATTGTCACATTTGGTCGAGAGCGGAGTAGTGAAGTTTAAGATGCAAGAACATTTACCAAAGGCGTCAATTTGTCCCCTCAACCTAAAATCGATAGAGCGACAACTACGAAATACCGATTTTCTTCTAACATATTACATTATTTCCTGCGGATTTGGATCATCTTTGTTATCTTTCCTTGTAGAGTCGCTGATTGGTTATCAGTACAAAAAGAAACTGAAAAAGGCCAAGGCAGTCGAAAACGATGATTTGACAAGCATGCCACCCCTTCCCCCTCCATACCATACCTTATTTCAGGAACCATTTAACTACCCGTTCGGTCAGAAGGAAAATATAAATGGGAGAGAATACTGGGTTGTACCTTCGGATCGTGGCAAGGAAATTGTACCCGTGCGAGCTACATCCGCTATGATGTTCCAATACACGCATTAAACAGTTGCTCTTCTTCGACATTTTTTTTTTCATCTTTTAATTCGGTGGCGCACCAAACTTCTATGAATACAAAAGTCGCACAGTTTTATTTAGTTTGGAGTGAACATAAAAACCTGCTCAAATATGGTAAGTTTCATCGCTTTCCCTAACATACCTACCTATCAATATGAACGCATGTTGCTACAACTATGACATCAAAAGATCCTACGCGAATCATATAGTATGTAGCATACATAATACTGAAATTGACCCGCATTATAAGAGATAATGTTTGTTAGTTTTACAATAGGCTCATTAGGAACAATCTTACGTTTTAAGTTCGATTGATCTATAAAGGCCGAGTTATGGGATGTACAGACGGACAGATGTCGGAACATATCTATGGATTGTTCACAGGTTTTTAGGAAGTAATGCAATAATAGCATTTTTTTAATTTGTAGATATTAATTTATAAGTAAATAATTTCATGTGGGGAGTCCAATTATGGTGCTTTCCAACTTTCTAACGCATCAAAACGAATTACCTCCGTTATTAAAATTTAAAACGGTTCTAGGACATGGAAAACTATAAACATGTAGAATCTACATAGTTTCCACGAGAGAAGAAATGAATAGAATTAAAATTAAAATCCTCTTGGCGCTGAAGATACTTTGTTTAGATGAACTAAATAAAACTGTAGTTACTTATTTGGGGATGCTAGACTTTATCTCTCAACTTTATAAAACAAATTTTGTGTTGAAAGTAGGTATTCACGAAAATTATGCATTTTATTCCATGTTATAATTAACAAACATCAATGGTCAATGTGTAAAGTTAACGGACATCATAAAAATCCATTTATACTAAGAATCTCGTTACAAGTCCAGAGCATAACCGACGTAAGTTATTTATTGACGAGCAAATATTTGCTTAGGAGGATAAATAGGGCACTTCGTATGTCACAATACAAAAAATACGTATGTACATATAGGTAAATAATCGCGTTCTCCGTTGTGGTGGACTCAGGTTGGTGGAGAAATACTTATTATCCTGCGCACCCCAACGCATTTGTTTTAGATATAATAGATATACAGTAAAGCGGGGGACAGTCCATTGGGGGGTTTTCGTTAAAGCAAAGTGTTGTTCTAGAATTGCTAAAGGTGTTCTGGTGTTTAATACAGTGTGTTGAAAAAATAATGGCATTAAACAACATATTGAAAACTATTTGTCCAGGAAACACCTGTGACGATCTGAAAAATGCACCAACTGTTGACAATCGCTATGAATTTACTCCACGTAAGATGCTTATTAATTGTTTCATTTTTACTATAATAACTGCAACCCGGCATAGAATTGAAGGGTCTGATTGCTTGTTTTGTATATTGTTTATATTCAGTTAGCACTTTCTATTGGAGAGCTAGAGAGAAGTTTAGATAGGGAAATATAAACAGTTTTAGAATTTGAAAAACAATTTATAAATCTGGAATTTGTAAAGCAAAACATTATGGGCTCTTTTTCAACGAATGTCACGACTCACTATATGCAAGTAGTAGGTAAAATCATGATTTTTATTCATTGTTAAACTTTTCAATGCCTATGACAATAATATTGACAAATTGTCCTTTCTTTTGCATCTTTTGTTTCCTGTTAAAAAAATGAAAATAAAAAGGTACATAATAATTCATTTCAATTCAAGAATTAGAGATTGGAAATAAATGCTTTGACATGATTTAATATTCGTTCTACTCGCATAAAGATTACTTATTTTTTTAGAAATGGACTAGGTAACGTCTAATTCTAGACGAAAGTTTAATCAGTAAGCTCCCTGTTCTGTTTCTTCTCAATAATTTTTGATTCATATCAAATCCTGTATGTAATACTCTATACTCGACTCTATACAAACTGAAGAGACTGGTCGAACCAATCCATTGTAGAAAACAAAATTCAAAAAACCTCTATCCATTCTCGCGTTATTGCACAAACAGACAGACAGGCGCGCACGGTTACATAACAAGCTTTTCAACCATGTTTTCGCTTCTTAATAAAACCTGCAATCCTTATTTAGCAAACCTTGCCGATGATAAAATTGTTATAAATGCATTGGGACGAGACCTCGTAGGACAGCATTTAACAATTGCCACCACCCAGGTACGTTGAATATACGCATACAATTTGAAGAGAATATTCAAGTTTTAGAATCCACCATTAAACTACGCCGAATGGGAGAATGGGAAATGGATCGGAAAAGGCATTGCGTTTGAATTTATCAAGTACATACAGGATCGATACCCATTCAATTATACAGTCACAGTACCTCCAGATATCGTTTTGGGAAATAAAACGGCTGGCGTATTTGGTTTAATGGGTGACCAGGTAATCGAATTAGAAACAGTTTTCATTTTCTTTTAAGCCGTATCGATCGTAAGCTAAAACATTTTCAGAAAGCCGACATCGCAGCTGCTTTTTTACCGAAAATTGACGCATACAACCACTTCGTGGACTATTCGCCGACATTGGACGTAGGTGAATGGGTCGTATTCATGAAACGTCCCATACAATCGGCCACTGGTTCTGGATTGCTGGCACCCTTTACCTTCGAAGTATGGATCCTAATTTTGATATTTCTGCTAGGTATGGCACCAGTAGTGAGCTTCTTCATTTTCCTTCATAAAAAGCTATGCCCGGGAGAACAAAACTTGCCTTCCCACATCTTTTCGGCCTTATGGTTCGTGTACGGCGCAATCGTAAAGCAAGGTTCCACCATGCTACCATCAGCAGGTAATATTTTTCCACCGTCGTCGGTAACATACACGACTTAATTTTAGATTCAACCAGGCTCATTTTTGCAACCTGGTGGATATTTATAACTGTTCTGACAGCGTTCTATACGGCAAATCTGACGGCATTTCTAACCCTATCCGTCTTCACTCTACCTGTGGCTAAACCGGAAGACATCGGAGATAAGGGTTACACTTGGGTAACAGATCGTGGTAACACGATCGAAGAAGCTGCCGACAATGTACGTATTTCATTTCGTCGACGCATAAAAATTAGAATGCGTTCATAGGTTCTAAAGGATGCACTAAAAGGATCGAAAGGCCACTACGTCTACGAAAGCAGAGACAGTATCGTTTACGACATTGTTATGAAGAAAGACTATTTATACCTCGGAGAAAAGCCTCAAGTGGATCACATCATGTATCGAGAATGGTTGGTAAGGGCAAGCGAAGATTTGCTCGAATCTCTACGGTGCGTTTACGTCATAACGACGTGGCCAGTTTTAGCACGAGAAAGAGTATTCCTATACAAAAAGGACTTCAAATTCAAACGTCTATTTGACCACATGTAAACAACATTCTTAGTTCTTATCTTTTCACTTAGTTCACTATTTCAGAATATTACATCTGATGGAAGGGGGATGCGTGAAATACAAGGTAAGATTTGGACTCCCAAAAGCTCCCGTTTGCCCGCTCGACTTAAAGAGTATCGAAAGACAGCTTCGCAACACCGATTTCCTCCTAACGTATTACGTGATCAGCACCGGCTACGGATTATCTTTTCTCTCCTTCGTTCTCGAATTCCTCTTCGGTTTAATCTGCCGCTCGCAACTTTACGTAAGGGAGGAAAAACCAAGATCGCCATTCCAGAGCACCTCGCCGACTTTACCGCCGGCTTACCATACACTCTTCGATGCGCAGTATAATCACACAAATGGAGAAAAACCTAACGGAAACGACTATTGGGTCGAGCCAACGCATCAAGGCAGAAACGTTGGACCACGACCATCTATTTTGATTCAGTACGCTCAATAAATCACCTTCACACTTCCTTGCACAGGTGAAGTGTGGATTTGATCACCATAATAATTTTTAAGTTTATATATGGATATTTTTTAACAAGCCTTTAAAAGTCGATGAACAATGTTTTCAGTAGTCCTTATGGCTGTGATATCTTCAATATTAAAAAAGAACCTTAACGGTTCACCGTATAAATTAAGACACAAATTACAAGCGCACTCAACAATTTAACAAAGTTTGAAGTCAAAATAATGTGCATTGTTCAGACGACAGTTGCAACATAGGTAGGCTCGTAGGTAGGTAACCCTATGACGTACCACAGAAAGGTTCAATGGTCGCCGTATTGTGCCTTTGGCACCAGTTTAAGCTTTTTCAGCAATTTGAGATTAGCGGTAACTAATCAGTGGCGCCTTCTTATAAATTTTAATAGTTTGGTAATTTTTGCACTATACGTTCCTGATGGTATTGTACCTTAACGTGTGCTTGTTTACTATTTAAAATTGCATATAGGGTTGGAATTGCTCATTAATAACCAATCCTCACGTATGAACCTATGAAAGACAATTTCTCTTATAGCTATAGAAAACAATGATGATCTCCTGCCCGACATTTATGAATTAGACTAGATTCTGTAAGTCACTTTTGAATTGTAATATCAATCTGTGTATAACTTTCACGTGTTTTGGAGATGAATTATTTGTATGCAAATAGATTTTGAATAAAAGTATAAAATCTATAGTCAATCATGCCCTGAAATGTACGTAACAAAATTGAGAATGGCATTGACAATCCAAAATGTCTACGTCATCGTATGATAGTAAGCATAAATTTCCTTTTCAAATAGATACGGGGGTATCTGATGAGGATGTGTGCAGAGCCACGGTAGCAGATTCGGACAGCTGTGAAAGATTAATAGACGATTATACACGTAACTTATTTGGAAACGTCGACTGCAAAAAGTTAATGTAAGAACAATAGCATTCTTGACTACCTAGTTAATATTTTTTTGTATAACAGAGACACATGTTTCTTGCCGGTGTGCCTAAGAAATCAAGACGAACTTGTCGCTTTTATATGTCTGCACGATCGTCCCAACATACCTAGTATTCCATCGAGTGATTGGACTTCTTGGGCACGAAATCTCTACAACTTAAAAGCGAGCATTCCCTACAACACACTATGGATTCATTTGGCTGGCTGGGACAATCGGTACACGTACACCTTTTTGTCGCCCATTCTTAGGCACACCTTTTTAACGTGCACATCTGTGGAGCACATTCTTCTCGTCATACCACCAAACACAACATATACTAGTTGGCTGGATGGGAAAGGCACCAGACTGATTCCTGCTGGTCAAGTCTAATAGTATCTATTAATTCAGACAGCTTTAAAGGCCGTTTTAGGTTTCTATGATGCAAATAAGGTGCAAACATTATATCTGATATTACGTCAACACTTTGTGACCAAATACAAAATTCGAAGAGCAGTAGAAGAGGATAATGACGACTTGACACCGCTAATTTACGCCAATAGTGCGCGTTTGCAAAATATCTATGGCGAGTTTTACATCGCCGAGATGATAACGAGACACCAAAATTCTGGTAGGCAGCTGATTGTTGCCGAATATAACGACAACGCTGTTGCCGTTCTCTGCCTTAATGAAGTTCTTAACGAACCATTGCTGAATGAAGAATTTGAATTGGCACCGTTCTACGGCTTAAGGAAATCGCACCTCGACGACAACGTGTACGACTTGATCCGGCCCTCTAGTATTACGGGTTTGTTGTCGGACGGTGCTGAAAGGTTCGTCCGTTTGCTCACCCATTCATCGTGATGACATTTAAATCAATTCCAGAGAACTCACATCGCTGGTTAATATATTACAGCTTGAAGAAGCAGAGGCATCGTACGGATCGAGTGTCGAACAGGAGGCGAATCACTCCGATGTAGACTATTTTATCAACGTTCCTTCCGTAGATCTTTCCACCAAAGCGGCGTCGGACGTTACACACTCTTCCAAGACAAGCAACGCGTTTAGTGGTATGATGCTGTCCTCAAACGACTACCAAGCACATTTATTCGCGGAAAGAAAGGCCGAAGTAGACTTGGAGGAGGAATGTACTCCACCGGGTAAGATGGGTCGCTTTCAAAGTGGCGCTCAAACAATTCTTTTAGAGTTCCCTCCCTTTACACGCATACCTACTCCAGTTTATCACGGAGATATTAACGCGTTTACACTTGAGTTAGCAGTGTCCCATCCAGATCACGAGTCCGAGACGATTCCTTTGCTTCTACAAGCGGCATTCGAATGCTTTCCTGAGAGAGATTACTGCATTCTTTCTATACCATCAACATGTCCTCCGTTTCCTTTGCTCAACTTGTTCGTCCGCGTTGCACCGCGTGCGACATCAACCTATCCTCACGAATTGTATTTACTACACAGAAACTCTGTCCTGAGCACTTTAGAAACACGACAGGCTGCTGTGCCCGATATCGAGGAAGTGCAAGAGTTCATCGAAAATATTCCGGTGGCGCACACCTTTATCGATAACTTCTTGGCGGCAATCTGTGAAGAAGACGATTTTGAGAGCTATCTTCTGACTTCGGAGAATAAAATCGTAGGGGTGGCGGTAATACGACAAGAGAATGAAAATGAGTACTTGAACAATCACTACAACGTAAACGAGTGGATCAACGAGGAGTACCACAAGGATGACGGACGGGCGTTGCTGATACATCTGGTGTTATCGCCAATTTTTCAGAGGCAGTCGCAGTTTTTTCTGAGGGAGATCTTGAGGTTAAGCGATTACACCGTGTTATTTTACCGCATATCGTCTGCCGATCTCTCGAGTGCAACACGTGACCGGCCACTTTGCGGAATACTCGACTATCTCTTTCCTTTGAGGCCTAGGCACTTACCCGAGTTTCCCAACATCAGATCATACCAAGAGTTTAAGGTGATAGAAAAGATTGCACCATTTACGGTCTACTTAACTACAATCAATTTGTGCACCTTGAGGTACATAGAAATCAACACTAAGATTGTCGTGATCGGTAGTAGTGACACCGCGCTGGCTTTCTTAATGGGATTAATTCACAGCCCAAGAACTTTGTACAAAGCGAATTTTTCGAACGTGACTGTTGTGTCGCCTCACGGACTCTCGTACGATAAACCAAATAAAATACTTTCTAGATTTTTTGTACAAAGAAGCACCTTCAACTATCAACACATA